TGGTATTTTTATTAGAGACGGGGTTTCACCATGTTGGCCAGGCAGGTCTTGAACTGACCTCAGGTGATCTGCCCACCTCGGCCCACAAGGTGCTGAAATTACAGGCACGAACCACTGTGCCCAGGCTACAGTGTTTCTATCAGATGTTGGAGATCATCTTAAATTTTACTGATTAGAAAAAATCCATTCATACTAAACTTAAATGTTTAGAGACAAAGTATATTATATAACAAACTCAGCAGACATGCATATTAGATAATGACAAATAATAAAATCAGTATTTTTAGAGTTAGTTGCAGCATGACACGGTCACTCCCAGTGGGTTTCCTGCGATGAAAAACAATCTGCTTAGGAGAAGCTTTCTAGAATTTTTTGTTAATGTGAAATGTTTCAAATAATGCAAAGGTCTACCTTCTGAGGAGGAATTTTAGAAAATCACGTATCGTGTGTGTGTGTGTGTGTGTGTGTGTGTGTGTGTGTTGGACTCTTGCTCTGTCACCCAGGCTGGAGTGCAGTGCTGCGATCTTGGCTTACTGCATCCTCTGCCTCCCAGGTTCAAGCGATTCTCCTGCATCAGCCTCCGGAGTAGCTGGGACTACAAGCATGTGCCACCACGCTCGGCTAAGTTTTTGTATTTTTAGTAGAGACAGGGTTTCACCGTGTTGGCCAGGATGGTCTCAATCTCCTGACCTCGAGAACCACCTGACTCAGCCGCCCAAAGTGCTGGGATTACAGGCTTAAGCCACTGCGCCCGGCCACAGTCATGTATCTTATATTGTGATAATTAAGCAACCCAGAAAAGTTACCTGTTGCAGAGGTAATTATAATTTTATAAACAGAGTAGGTAAAAATCAAATAGACGCCCCTCCCAACCCCCGCGCCCAGCAAAAAGAATTAGAGCTAAAGGCTAGAACTGCTTAGCTAAATAGACCATGCAGTTTTTTTGAGGTGGGGTCTCGCTCTGTTGCCCAGGCTGGAGTGCAGTGGCCAATCACAGCTCACTGCAGCCTTAACTTCCCAGGCTCAAGTGATCCTCCTACTTTAGCCCACAAAAAGCTGGGAGTACATGTGTGTGCCACCACGCCCAGCCAATTGCTTGGAATTTTAGTAGAGACGAGGTATTTGAGGTCTTGCTATGTTGCCCAGGCTGGTCTGGAACTCCTGAGTTCAAGCAGTCCCTGCCTTGGCCTCCCAGTGTGGGGTGGGTCACGCCTGGCCTAGGCCATGCAGTTCTGAATGGTGCGTAAGACACGTGAGCACCCAGGGAAATGCCTGTCAGCCAGTCTTCACCATTTAAAAACAGCAGCTGCTGTCAAAGCTAAAGGCAGAATAGTGTCTTGGCAGAAACTGCGCAGTTTTTCCTCCTAGATGTGGGCTAGAAAGTGCACCACATCCTTTGCTGGGATTTTTATGATCTCTGCACTCAAGCATTTTTCCACGGGGATGCATTAGTGAGACTGGAAGAGCGCAATAGAGACATGTTCTGCCCTCAGCACTGTGCAATGTGCGGTCTCCCTTCCTCCAAGAACAGACCTACTGGGCCAGGTACCGCCCTCAGAGCAGCGGAGGCCTGCCCTGCACTTGGACCCCAGCCCCACCGTGGGCATCCCCCACAGTCCCTTCTGAGCCTCAGCTTTGTTGGCCTCCACCTGGGACTGGGGGGACCCTCCTCAGTGTGAGCTGGAGCGTAGGGATTGCATATTTGGTGGCTGAGCCCCTGAATGTCCAGAGAAGCTTGGTGGTCTCACCTTCTCCAGTCGAATTCTCTCTCCACACTGGAGGTCTAGTTCATTTCCAATTAAGATCAGGTCTTCGGAGGTCACTTTCCACTGGTGGCTGGCAAAGTGTACCACAGCAAAGAGCCTGCCGTACTGCCCCGTGGCGATCAGCTCATTCACCTTCCTCACGATCTCTGCGGGTAAGGCGGGTGGGCAGGCAGTCACCCTCCACTGCTCCCCCATGTACTGCAGTGTGACGTGCAGCTCCTGGTGGACGGGACGCCAGCACCCCTGGTGAGCACCTCACTGCGGGCGGCCCAGCCCTGCTCCACCCCCTGCAGGCACAAGTGTGGGCACAGGGCCAGTCTGCTGCTCCAGGAGCACTGGCACTGTGGCACGCGGGGCTTTCACAGACAGACGCTCCGCAAGACTGCAGAGAACGCCCAGACCACCTCCTGCGACTTTCCCGCCTAAGCACTCGGCAGGCCTGGCTCCACTTCTACAAGTCTAGGGCGGGTGAAGCCCTCCACCTCCTTCATTCCCATTCATTACTAATGAGGAGCCAGCAGGCCAGGAGTGTAAAAACGCTGAGAAGCGAAAGGTCTTTGCCATGAGGAACGCCCTACATCCCACCCTCACATCCCACCCCTGGGGCAGGACGGGTTCTCCCTGCATGCCTGTGCCCACAGGGGCTCCGTGCTCCGTTCCTGTCATCCCTGCTCTGACACAGGTCACAGTTGCCTCTCTCTTGTACTGTTTACTCTGAACAAGCATTTATTTATTTATTTATTTTTTAAAGACAAGGTTTCACCATGTTGGTCAGGCTGGTCTTGAACTCCCAACCCTCAGGTGATCCGCCAGCCTTGGCCTCCAAAGTGCTTGGATTACAGGTGTGAACCACCAGGCCCAGCCTGAACAAGCATTTAATGTGCACCGACGCCTGGCCCGACTGAGGGCTGGACACGCAGAAGGGACGACAGAGTGCCTGCCCCGGAAACTGTCAACACCAGAGCGCTGGCATCGAGGGCAAAACTCTTGGTGGACCTGTTTCACTCGCACAGTATCTGAAACAGCATTTAGAATGTAACAAGATAAAATGTGAGAAGATTCCACTCAAGAGTCTTGATTTCCAGCGTTTTGGAAAGTGAGGATCATGGGTCCCTTTTGACATGGGCTCCAGGTCAACATGAGTACTGATGCCCCTACGTGTTTCTCCAACAGCCAGGGTGGCACCGGCTTCCGTTAGCTGTGCTGAACTGTACCAGCTGGGGCGAGCTGTCCCTGAGCCCACCAGGAGCGGGAGATGAGAGATAGGGCAGGACCCCGCCTCACTTATGCCAGCTGCCTGCAGTGTGGCAGGCGTTCAAGGAGCAGTCAAACGAGTAACACTTGAAATACTGACACTAACCAGCAGAAGTGAACGTGAGTGCTTGCCCTGCGCTGTCTGGGACCACCGGAAACACGGAGCCCTCGCTCTGTGCCCAGGGACCACCTCTGTGGTGACGGGAGCAGGGTCTGGGCGGTGCCCTCCAGTTTCTGTCTCCCAGGGAGGTCTTACCCGCATGGTGTCTGGTCTCCTCAACTGGGTCTGGCAGGACAATTTCTGGCCATGGAGGTGAACTCAGGGAGGTTTTAGGAACATATCTGTAAAACACATTTCGTACACAAATGTCACACGCACTTGAAAAGGCAGCTTAAAGCCTCCAAGAAATGGCCACACACAAATGTTGGGAAGGGACCCCAGGCCACAAAAAGGCTGGTTCTTTAGGACAGGCCCCGCCCGTCTGCGGTAAGCCGAGGACAGGCTCCCTGCATCCTCTTACAGCCACAGGGAGCAGTGGCTCATCATTTACTCACTAAAGCAGGAACTCTCAGCGGTCTGCTCCAAGAGCCCACGCTTGGGCACCTCTCAATGCTGCAAGGGTGCCCATCCAAGGAAGCTGGGCTTGTGGTATCTCGGGACACATTTACCTTGGAGGCACAGGCTGAAATGCCCAGCCCTCCACTTTCCCCACAACCCGGGATACAGGGCCAGCAGCTCTCCTGCCTCGCCTGGCATCCAGTGGCCCTGGAATGGCAGCTCCAATGACCCTTCGCCACATCCTGCTCAAACAGGACCATGTTCCCTGCCCCTGCCCACCTCCAACTCCTCCCAGGTAAGTGCCTGCTCTTCCTTCATGCCCAGATGACTGACAGGCAGAACTGGCTCTGACCCCTGACAGTTAGTCCTGGTGACTAAAACTGAGCAGATGGGAAAACAAGCACCCACCAGAAAGGGCTGTGTTGGGATCAGATGGCGACTGTTCCCAGCCGGCCCCAGCACTGCCAGTGCTCTCAATCCCAGCAGCTATATAGCACCACAGTCCCCAGCCGCCTCCCCCTCCCCCCTCAGGATGCCAAGCTTGGTGCAAGCAACACCTCTTTTTTTTTTTTTTTTTTTTTTTTTTTTTGAGATGGGGTCTTGCTCTGTCACCTAGGCTGGAGTGCAGTGGCGCAATCTTGGCTCACTGCAACCTCTGCCTCCAGGGTTCCAGCGATTCTCCTGCCTCAGCCTCCTGAGTAGCTGGGATTACAGGCAAATGCCACCATGCCTGGTTAAGTTTTGTATTTTTAGTAGAGACAAGGTTTCGCCACGTTGGCCAGGCTGGTCTCAAACTCCTGGTCTCAAGTGATCCGCCCACCTCAGCCTTCCAAAGTGCTGGGATTACAGTCATGAGGCACCGCGCCTGGTCCACCGACTTCTTCATTTTGTGACTCTCCCCAGCCTGCTCAGCCCCAGGCAGGTCGGGGGAGAAGAGGGGAGGAAAGAAAGGGAGGGCCTAGATTCAAAAGGAGGTGGGATCTTTCTGACTTTCTGCTGTCTACAAAGAGGGAGGGTGGGTAGATTCCAAACTGAACTATTCAGAACTCTTTTTAAGCTTTTATTGCTGCTGCCACTGCAAAGTAAAATTTCAGTCTTTCTCTCCAGTGTCGCATTAGGAAGGAGAAAACTACCTGCTCCACATGCAAAACGTGCGGCCCCCACACCAAGGACCAGGTGCGTCCATGCTGTTGGCTGGCAGGCAGGAGGGGCTCCACAAGAATCTGGGAGAGGAATGAATGCTTTCCCAGTGGGGAAGGGCCTGGAGCGCCTAGAAACATGAACTCTGTGGTCTGTGGCTGGTCAATGACCTGAGGGACAAGGAGGACAAGGAAGGTGCTGCTCTCTACAAAACGTCTTTGATGTGCTTGATGGCCGTCTCCCCAGATGGGCCCAGCCGTGCTCAGTGTGAGAAGAACACACTGGCAGCAGGTGCTAATCTCTCACACAGGACAGACAAGCACAACCTGGCCACGTGCTAACTTACAACCTCTTCCTACGCTCAGATTCGCAGCTTCTCTTGAGAAGCAAGAAAGCCTCTGCACCTCCCCACTGCGGAGGAGCCCCGGAGTCCCGGCAGCAGTAAGAGCGGGCAACGTTTTGTGAGCGCTTACTGTATGCCAGGCACTGTTGTAAGCGCTGTAACTGTATACACTTACATAATCCTTTCCAGCACTCATAGAGACAGAAACAAACACTGCTTCCATCTGGGAGAAGCCCGGCGTCCCAGGCAGTGAGGGGCAGCCAGACTGCACCCTGGGGCTCCCCTGTGATCACTGCTCCCCCGCACTGCTCCTGTGTCTCCCACCAGTGAGTGGACGCTGTCAAGTGTCTCCTGCAGCTTTTAATACCTTAAAAATGTTTTTCTCAAGTACAAAATATCAACACTGAATGTGCTTTTTCAAAGAATGAGTTTCTCTGAGAGACCCTGATGCAACCTTCCTCATCAGAAATCTTGATTTAGGACTTCAAGCTTCTCCATAAAAGAGAGCAAACACAGACAGTCTTTCTCTTCGGTTTCTTGCAGTTACGTCTTTTATTTTAAGGGGCTGAGAAAAATACCGTCAAAAAAGTGAAAGCCAGAAGTGGTGCTGCGTGCCTGTAATACTGTAGCAGGATCACTGTAGGCCAGGAGTTCAATACCAGTCTGGGAAACATAGTGAAACTGTCTTTAAAAAAAAAAAAAGGAAATTTAAATATTACTGAGAACCAAAAGGTAGGAAGTTTTGACTTTAAAAAGACGGTCCTACAAATGAAAGGAAAAGAGGCACCAAAACCCACATTTTGATATTACCCTGGTGGAAATGAAGTACTCTGCGAATTGAACCTTTGAGCAGCAGACCAAAGGGACCCTGGGGGAAGAGAGACACGCATCATTACTATTAATACGACAAATGCAAACTGCTCCTCCCGGTATGCGGTGTAAACCACTGCATGTCAAGCTGCCTGCAGAAACACCTAGGTGAGCAAAACCAAAAGAATGTCACTTACAGCTACTGGCTATGTGTGCTGAGCTCAGCTTGCCACGCCATCAACAAGCGCCTGAGACCAGAAGCACCCGCCCACTAACTCATGCCTTCACCAAGTGCCCAGTAGGTTCAGCCCCTGTTCCGTGCCCAAGTGTGGGAGCAGCCTCCACGATGGCCCTGCTGAGCCCCGCCTCCTGCTATTCTGGCCCCCGTCAGCCCTGTCATCCCCCAAGGAGTGGTCTGTGTGTCCCACAGCTTGTGACAGATGTGCTGGCTCATCACTTCTGGGATTAGGTGATAACCAACTGGGCCTTCCATCTTGGATGCCTGCGCTCACTCTCTCCGATCTCGGCCTTGGGGCAGCCCTGCTGTCAGCAGCCCTACGTAGAGGTCCACGTGGCGGGGAACTTGGCCTATCGCCAACACCCACAGGAACGACCTTGCAAGTGGATTCTCCAGCTGCTGGCGCAGCGGAGTCTTGAGAGAACTACAGTCCATGTGAGCTAACGAGACCGAGCCAGAACCAGCCACCTAAGCTGCTCCTGTGTTCTTGACCCTCAGAATTGGTGTGAGGCTCTAAATGTTTTCAGCTGCTAAGTTTTGGGGCGATTTCTGATGTAACTGTAGCTATCGAATAGACCAGGGAACAAAGGCATTCAGCCTACTGAGAAGAGAGGGGCTCAAAATAAGTGCTTAGGTGCAAAAAGCGGAGAACAGGTTTCTCAATAACCACTTTTATTATTTATTTATTTATTTATTTATTTATTTTAAAGACAGGGTGCGTTTCACCATGTTGGCCAGGCTGGTCTTGAACTCCTGACCTCAGGTGATCCGCCTGCCGCAACCCCCCAAAGTGCTGAGATTACAGGCGTTAGCCACCATGCCCAGCCAATAACCACTTTTAAAGAAATTAAGCTATAATCTACATACCATAAAAGTCACCCTTTTAAAGTTCACCCATTAGCACTGGCTCCCTGTTTGTGTCTGCTCGGCTGCCTTCTCTCCTCTCCCATTTGGGTGCCTGGGGTCCAACCCTGGGCCTTTAGCTCTCCTCCATCCATGGCCATTCTTCTGGTGACTGCATCCAGTCTGATGGATTTAAATGCCCTGGATGTGCTGGTGACTCCCAGGTTGACACCTCCAGCCAGGGCCTCTCCCCTGGACTCGCATACCCACCTCCCACTGTGTCTAATGAGCACCTCACACTTCCAGAGGCTCCTCATTTCTCCCATGCCTGCATCTCTCACACTCCTCCCTCTCACAAGGGCAACTTCATCCTCCCAGTTGCTCAGGCCTCAAACCTCCATCAGTTTTGACCCCCTTCTCTTGCACACTACTCAGCCAACCCATCGGCAAATCCTGTTGGCTCTCCCTTCAAGCGATCCAGGATCTAACCAATTAGATCCTGGATCTAATTAGATCCTGCAAGCCACCACCTTCTCTTGCCTAGATTACTCCTAACACTCGACCCTCATTCTTGCCTTTCTTTCCTGCATGGCAGCTAGAGGAATTCTGTTAACACGTAGGTCAGAAGATGTCTCCATTTTGCAGAAACTCTCCAAGAGCTTCCCATTTCCTTCAGAGAAAAAAACCAAGTTCTCGCAGCAGTGGGCAGGGCGCCCGGAAAGGCGAGGCAATGCGACCTCCTACCGCCTCTCAGAATCTGCCTCTCTGTCTCTTTCCCCGGTTAACTCTTCATCCACACTCCACTTCCCTGCAGTTCCTGAAATGTGCCAGGCTCAAGCTTGCATCCTCATCCTTGTGTGAGCTGTGCCCTCACTTCCTGCATGTTTCCATGCAAACACCATCTCAGAGGAGAGGGTCTCTTTTCTTAGGAGAGAGATCACCCCTTTGCCAGGTGTGGTGGTGGGCGCCTGTAGTTCCAGCTACTTGGGATACTGAGGCACAAGAATCATTTGAATCCAGGCGGCGGAGGTTGCAGTGAGCTGAGATCGTGACACTGCACTCCAGCCTGGGCAACAGAGTGAGACTCTGCCTCAAAAAATAAAAGAAAAAAGAAAAAAAGAAAAAATTTATTCTAAGCCATCTGATGATGCCGCTATAGAAATATTCCAGTGATTTTGAACTCAGCACCTCTCTTGGAAGCCATCCCGTTGTGAAAAACTCAGCAAGCTTCTATATCTAATTTGCTTTTAGCTTTGGCCTTGGGTCCACAGGGAACAAACATTCTGCTTCCTCTCCCACAGTATTTCCTTTAGATCATCCTGGAGACTGTGACTGTGCACTTCCATCCTGTCTGCTTTGCTCACTCTTCAAGGACCCAGCTGCTCACTGTTTGGTCACCTTCTCTGTACTCACTCCACTGTGTGTCTTTCTCTCTTAAAGCGTGAGTCTGTACTTGAACACAGCATTGGAGGGGTGGTTTCATGTAGGTAGGTGGCATGGAGTAAGTCCCACTGCTTTTGTAAAAACTTTCCCGCCTACTTAAACCCAAGTTTTATTACGGAAAATGCCAAACATACAAAAGTAAAGGGAACTCTAGTGAACTCTCTCTCAATTATCCCTTCCCAGGTTCAACAGTTACCAACTCATGGTTAATTTTGGCATCTGCATTGCTTCTCGCCCAACTCTGTGATTATTATTACTTTCTTAAATTAATACTTTCTTAATACAGACTTTATTTTCTAGCGCAGTTTTAGTTTCACACCAAAATTGAGTGGAAGGTACAGAGAGTTCCCATATGTCCCCTGCCCACGTCCCCACAGCCTCCTGTCAATATCCCCCACCAGGCTGGCACGATCCTTACAATCAATGAACCTACACTGACACATCATTGTTATCCTCAGTCCACAGTTTACATTAACGTTCACCTTTGGTGGTGTACATTCTACGGATTTGGACAAACTTAAAATGGGATGTTATCTACCATTGTATTATACATACAGAATAGTTTCACTGCCCCCAGAGTCCTCTGAGCTCCACCTATTCATCCTTTCCTCCCAAATCCCATTATCTCTCATCTATCTTTTTACTGTTTCCACAGATTTGCCTCTTCCAGAATGTCAGAGTGGGAAACATACAAGATGTAGCCTTTTCTGGTTGACTTCTTTTACTTAGTAACATGTATGTAAGTTTCCTCCATGTCTCTTCATGACTCATTTCTTTCTATTGTATGGATGTGCTACAGTTCATGTAACCATTCATACCCTGAAGGACATCTGGGTTGCTTCCAAGTTTTGGCAATTATGGAACAATTTTTTTTGAGACGGAGTTTTGCTCTTGTTACCCAGCCTGGAGTGCAGTGGCCTATCTCGGCTCACCACAACCTCCGCCTCCTGGGTTCAAGCAATTCTCCTGCCTCAGCCTCCCGAGTAGCTGGGATTACACGCACGCGCCACCATGCCCAGCTAATTTTTATATTTTTAGTAGAGACGGGGTTTCACCATGTTGACCAGGATGGTCTCGATCTCTTGACCTCGTGATCCACTCGCCTCGGCCTCCCAAAGTGGTGGGATTACAGGCGTGAGCCACCACGCCCGGCCGGAACAATTCTTTAAATAGAGTTAGATCCAGTTTTTCTTTTTTGGGGTCATGGTGAGACATGAGACCCAGGTTTAAAACACACATAAACACTCGTACACACAAATATACACTTCAACCATTTTCAGGCAGAGATTTACAGAGTTTTTGACGAACATAACCTTTTTGGAGCCTCATATCAGCCCAGCGCCTTAAATACGGCTGTTTCTTTTGTTGAGTTCAGATTAGGCTAGGATATTCATCATGATTTTTCAGAGCTGCTCGCAGCCTGGGGCAATGGTTCAAGCACAGGCTTTGGAGCCGAACTGAGCTGCGCCTGAGCACTCTTCTTCCCCTTCCCCGCTGCGTGACCCTGGACAGGTTACCTAGCTCCTCTGAGCTGCAGGCTGGTCCCCCATAATATAGGGGCTATACCGAAGTTCAAGGGCTATCGTCAGAATTCAGGCTACTAACTGAAGGAATCAGAATCTGAATCTGGGTTCCCCAGCCTCCAAAGCCCCTGCTATATTCATTCAGTACAAACGCGATCAACACACAAGGCACCAGGTCGAACCCCGGCACATACATGGCGAGACTGCAGAGAGCAGCGCTCGCTCCGCGTCCTCCCTTCACTCCATATCCCGGGTCTCACCCGCTCCGGGCCCAGAAGGTCTCAGGATGCTGCGGCTGCATGCGGACACCAACCGCCCGAAGGTGACTGTCAGGGCGGTTGCCGCCATGGCCGCCGCCATCTTCCCGCAGTCTCGGCCGGAAGCGGGAGCGACGCAAACCTCGTGCGTAACGCACGGGCCGGATGGGGAACGTCGGTCCGGCTGTAACAGCGCCCCGGCGCGGAAGCGCGACGTCTGCGGCTCTGGGCCCAAGCTGGCGGCGGCGATGGCCTCGGCGGCTGTGGAAAGCTTCGTGACCAAGCAGCTGGAGCTGCTGGAGCTCGAGAGAGACGCGGAGGTGGAGGAGCGAAGGTACAGGCGGCCGCCGGCGCCGCTCCCTCGCGGTTGGTCCCGCGGTGTCCCGGGCAGAGTCTCCGAGGGGCTCGGCCTCACAGCCTGGGGCGGGAATTTCGTCTCCGACCCCCGAGTCCGAGCCAGGGACCGTCCGTCCCCTGCGTGGTCACCCCGAGTTGTCAGTCTCGTCACCTCCCGGGCAGCGCGCTGCGCTTTGGAACTCTTAAGAAGTCCTTTCGTTTCTCGACCCGAGACCCCCCAACGCTGACACCCTGGGCCCCGGCCCCGACCCCACTTCCGCCCGCAGCGGGTTAGCAGCCCTTTCCCTTGTTCGTCCGGTAAACGTGGTTTGCGCCCGTTCCGTGCCCGGCCCCGGCAGCGTGAGTCAGGTGCAGCGGCTGCCTCGGATCCGGCCAGCTGCGGGCTGGGCCTGAGCACAGTCCCTGCCGCTCCGGCGCCTCCAGGCCCGGCTGCGCGCGTGCTGGGGGGAACGAGCCTGGAGGAGGAACGCCCTTCCCCGGGGAGGGTCACGGTGGCTTCAAGGAGGAGGTGGGTGCCCGAAGGAAAATTGGAGTTAAGCCGGTGGATGCGGGGTGGGGTGGGGAGCAACCCTGAGAGGTGTGGACAGCCACGTGAGAGCTGGCCTTGCTTCCGAATGGGATTATTTATTTGTCCAAAACGAACAGAGCTAACACACATGTACTTTCCATGCGTTAATTCCTACACACCTCTGCCAACCCTGCAAGGTAGGTTTCTATTACTGTCATTTTCCGTCTAAGGAGATGGAGACAGACGGGTTAAGTAACTTGCCCAGGGTGACACGCTATAGCCCGATTCGCCATCAGGCAGTCTGCCTCCAGAGTTTGCAGGCAGCCATAGGTCGGCAGAATTTGTCCGAGAGGCTTTTGATCGTGGCGATTGAGAGCTTTTGCAGTTACTTGACTTTATCAGAATCCCAGCTCCTTCATATATGGCTGTGTGACTTCACAGGTTCTGTCTCGGAGCCTTACTTAACTTCATCTGTGAAAGTGGGATGATTCCCACCTGCCAGGTTTGCTCTGAAGGAAACGATCCCGTCAGTTAGGTGCTCAGAACCGTGCCAAGGACAGAGTCAGCCCCCATGGCAGTGGCTCTTCCTGAGAATGCTGAGCAGACTGGCAGGGTGAACCGGGAAGGCCCTGGCTAAGGAGCCAGCCTTCTGCTCAGTGTGTGCAGGATTGGCCATCAGCGGGGTTAAGTAGGAGAGGGAGGCGAATAGATGTGCATTATTAGGAGGGTCTCTGGGTCTCCTGTATTTGACTGGACTAGGAGGGGCCAGAAATAAGGTAGTTGACAGGCTCTTTTTAACCCAGGTGAGCAGTGATGTGGGTTTGAACCAGGGCTGTAGCAGCCAGGATAAGAGGCAGAGAAGTCCAGGTAGAAATAGGGGGAGCCTGAGAGGACTGAGTGACAGATAGGAGTAGAGCAGGGAGCACCAACGGCAGCATCTGTCTCAGGTGACTGGGAGAAGGGTTGTGGCATTAACTGCCCAAGGGGGATGTAGAAGGAGCGGGTTTGGGAGTGGAGCAGATTCAGAGTTCCATGGGGACATATTTAGTGCCCGTGAGTAGATCTTTATCTGTGTTTCTTTCCCTTTTACTTTTTCTGCATGGGTGGAAGTAGAAACTGGTAAAAATCCTGAAGCATCAATACCAGTTGTCTTCCAGGTCCTGGCAGGAGAACATCTCTCTGAAAGAGCTCCAGAGCCGAGGTGTGTGTTTGCTGCAGCTTCAGGTATCCAGCCAGCGCACGGGGCTGTACGGACGGCTGCTGGTGACCTTGGAGCCCAGGCGATGCGGTTCTGCGGCAGCTCTTCCCAGTAACAGCTTCACTTCTGGTGTGTGCCTATTCATCCAGACAGACACTGAAATTGACTGGCATTCAGACCACCTTGTACCCTCATAGAGACTGGATTACAACGACCAGTTGGAGAATAAAGCATTGCAGTGAAGAACTCTAATCAGAAGTCCAACAATTGATGTGGGTTTTTGTTGTCTAGATTAGCATTGTCCAAAATGGTAGCCATTAGCCATGCGTGGCCATCAAGCGTTTGAAGTGTGGCTTGTGATTGACGCAGATGTAGAATACACAACAGATTTGGAAGATTATGTTAAGAGCAGTTGGGAATATCTCGAGTGATTTTTTTGGAATACTGATGACATGTTGAAGTGTTTTTCATATATTGGGTTAAATATGTTGTTATTAAATTAATTTACCCGTTTCTTTTGAATTTTTTTTTTTTTTTGAGCCGGAGTCTCACTCTGTAAACAGGCTGGAGTGCAGTGGCATGATCTTGGCTCACTGCAACCTCCGCCTCCTGGGTTCATGCGATTCTCCTGCCTCAGCCTCTTGAGTAGCTGGGACTACAGGCGTGTGTCACAACGCCCAGCTACTTTTTTTTTTGGTATTTTTAGTAGAGACGGGGTTTCACCATATTGGCCAGGATGGTCTTGTACTCCTGACCTCAGGTGATCCACCCACCTCAGCCTCCCAGAGTGCTGGGATTACAGGCGTGAGCCACCGTGCCTGGCTTCTTTTAAATTTTTTAATATAGCTACTAGAAAACTTAAAACTACACGTGACTGGGTGCCTTTAATCCTGGCATTTTGGGAGGCCGAGGTGGGTGGATCGCTTGAGCTCAGAAGTTCAAGAGCAGCCTGGGCAACATGGCAAAACCCCATCTCTACAAAAAATAGAAAAATTAGCCAGCTGTGGTGGTGTGCACCTGTAGTCCCTGCTACTTGAGGGGCTGAGGTGGGAGGATCACTTGAACCTGGGAAGTTGAGGCCTCAGTGAGCCGAGATCACGCCACTGCACTCCATCCTGGGGCCAAAGTGAGATCCTGTCTCAAAACAAAACAAAAACTGCACCTCACTCTCGTTAATGTTTCTATGTAACATGGCCTTGGTCCCAGTTGTTGAATATGCAGTCTGTATCCTTCTGTATTTCCAACCCTTTCTTGTGCCAAGCATTTTTTGGCTAAGCTTGTGCCAGCCTGGTTGGAAAGGAGGGGCGGTTAGGAGAAGCTTCTTAACCACATGCCTGGGACGTTTGTGTTAGACGGCCACTGCCCCGGAAACCAGGAGGAAGCAGCATTGCCGGGGCTGTCCTTTTTACTATAAAAGTGTCTCTACCTAGTTTTGGTGGTGATGGAGTTTTGAATTTCATATTTTGATTTCATAGACTTTTGCCCAGCAATTAGGAATACCGGCTGGATTTGGAGAAGATGGGATGAGGGTGTTGAGAGAGGAAGGGCCAGGAGGGGAGCCTGCAGGTTGGAGTCCGACCTGAGCAGAGTTTGAGATCTTACACTTGCTTGTTATGTGGCCTAGAGTTAGTTACTCACCCTCCGAAGATCAGGAACAGCAGTACCTTGTGGCGTTGCCCTCAGGATGGAAAGTGTGTACAGGCGGGTTGAAAACTCTGAAATGCAAAGGTCAAAATGTTTATTTAGGGCCGGGCGTGGTGGCTCACACCTGTAATCCCAGCACTTCAGGAGGCCGAGGTGGGTGGATCATGAGTTCAAGATATTGAGACCATCCTGGCAAACATGGTAAAACCCCACCTCTACTAAAAATGCAAAAATTAGCCAGGCATACTGGCGGGCGCCTGTGGTCCCAGCTGCTTGGGCGGCTGAGGCAGGAGAATCGCTTACACCCAGGAGGTGGAGGTTGCAGTGAGCTGAGATCATGCCACTGCACTCTAGCCTGGTGACTGAGTGAGACTCTGTCACAAAAAACAAGAGTGTGTATATATATTCAGTAAGTGTTGTGGAGTGCATGACCTAAGAGATTAATAATAGCTGATAAACAGGAAGTCAGAAGAAGTGGCGTTCATGCAGAAAAGTGGCAAGCTGAAATTATGGTTGTTGATACAGCTGTTGATTAGATGCAGGTAGAGCGGTTATCTTTTCCTTTTCTGAGGAGCAGTCTTAAGTTTCAGTGGCTCAGAGATACACATCTGGAAATGTGGGGTTCTACACAAGGCAGCTCGTGGAAAGGTTGTGGAGGGATGGGATCCTCTAGCCCCATGGCAGTCCCTGTGCACGGAGCCAACCCTCTGTCCCGCGAGCTTGTTGCCACATATGCTTTGTCTTTATAAAGTTAGGAAACGTGATTCAAGGTGCAGATGAAACTCAGTGTCTAGAAGATTTCAGACATGGGGAGTACATGGAGTGTGAACAGGTGTGGGTGACCCGCGCTTTTATCTCACAGTGGGTTGTGTCAGTCCTAACTGCCTATGTTCTGAGTGACAAAAATCTGAGTCAGACTGGCTTTTTTATTTTTTATTTTTTGCCCTCCCCCCCCCGGACTGAGTGATGAAAATCTGAGTCAGACTGGCTTTTTAAAAAATTTTTATTTTTCGTCCCCCTTGTCCCCCTGACTGGCTTAAGCAAGAAGGGACTGTGTCAGTTGTTGTGACTGGAAGGCTGGCTTCAGGACCCAGAGGAGCATGCCAGGACTTAGTTTCTCTCCATTTCTTGACTCTGCCCCCTTCTTGGCTCTCCTATCTGCCCTCTTCTTGCTGTGTGTTTTTTTTTTTTTTTTTTTCATCCATCTTAGAGTTTAAGTCTTTCACTGCTGTGCAGGCTGCACTGCAGTGGCACAATCATGGCTCACTGCAGCCTCGAACTCCTTGGCACAAGTGATCCTCCTGCTTCAGTGTCCTGAGTAGCTGGGATTACAGGTGTGAGCCCCTGTGCCTGGCTGGGATGGATCTTCATCTCAGGTGCCTCATGGTAGCAGTTCTAGCCCCTAATCCTCTCAGGTTTCCTGTCAAGCTGGAGAGAGGAAGTGTCTCTATCCAGATGCCCAAGTACAGGTCTTCACGCATCTCAGGCCTGTGACTTGGTCTCATGCCCACCCCTGAAGCAATCACGGTGGCCAGGGGCATGTGAAGCACTGAACGGCTTAAGCCTGGACTGGGGGAAACCCCTTGGACTCACCTGACAGGTGGGAGACACAAGACAGTTGTCCTAGGCAGTAGGAAGGGCTGTGCTGTGTGGGCGTTTCTGCATGGAATGTTCTTTTCTTTTTTTTTTTTTTTTTTTTTTTTTTTTTTTTTTTTTTTTGAGTCGGAGTTTCGCTCTTGTTACCCGGGCTGGAGTGCAATGGCGCAATCTCGGCTCACTGCAACCTCCGCCTCCTGGGTTCAGGCAATTCTCCTGCCTCAGCCTCCTGAGGTAGCTGGGATTACAGGCACGCGCCACCATGCCCGGCTAATTTTTTGTAGTTTTAGTAGAGACGGGGTTTCACCATGTTGACCAGGATGGTCTCGATCTCTTGACCTCGTGATCCACCCGCCTCGGTCTCCCAAAGTGCTGGGATTACAGGCGTGAGCCACCGCGCCCGGCCGGAATGTTCTTTTCCAGATGTGCTGTGGCGCTTGCTTCTTTCCACTTCCTCCCTGCTCCCACGGGGCCCTTCCTGCACACTGTAACTGGAACAGTGTCCTCATCCCTCCATCGCCTTCCTGTGCTTTATTTTTCCTAGAGCACTTAGCGCTGGTGGAGATGCTTGTGTTTGCCGTTTCTCTCCTCCCTGACATGAGGGCAGGGACTGTCCTTACTTGTAGCACTGACTAGAGCCAAAACAGTGCTTGGTACAGAGGCGGCACTTTCGGTATTTTACTGAGTCTCATGCTTGCTTTGAATAGTTCATTAATCTCAGGTCAATTTTCTTATATGACTTAGGTGTTAACCTTTTTTTTTTTTTTTTTTTTTTTACTGTTACTGATTGCATGTACTGAAGAAAGTAACAAAGATAAGCTATTTGAAGTTTATCTTTAATATCTATAATAAAACTGGAATTTATTATATAAAACAACATTGAACCGTTCCCCAGTGTCTTGTGTAACTGAGTTTTCGCGTTTTGCAGGTGATATAGTGGGCCTGTACGATGCTGCTAATGAGGGCAGTCAGCTGGCCACCGGGATCCTGACCCGAGTCACCCAGAAGTCGGTCACAGTGGCTTTTGATGAGTCCCATGATTTCCAGTTGAGCTTGGACCGAGAGAATTCCTACAGACTGTTAAAACTTGCCAATGATGTCACTTACAAACGACTGAAAAAGTAAGCGGATGTGGCTGGAAATCGTAAGCATCATCTTTCTTAAACATAGCTAGCCCATTCCTCCCACGCCTGCCTCACGAAAGAGCAGGTCATTGTGTGGCTGTCCAGTGAGTTGGTGGCAGCACTGGGGCCGAGGCCCCGGCATTGAACAGCTGGTGTTTGCTGAGTTTCTAATTGTAGTTTTCTCCCTTGGCAGAGCTCTGACTGCTCTAAAGAAGTATCATTCTGGCCCAGCCTCCTCACTCATAGAGGTGCTCTTTGGCAGATCTGCTCCCAGTCCTGCCAGTGACATACGTAAGAACTTTTGAGTTTTCTTTTTTTGGTCGAAATCGCTGCTGAAAGTATCGAGAACAATGTGACCGTGGGCCGTTTGAGTAAGAGTGTGAGAAAGTGTGACTAGAAGCAGTCCACCTGAACGTCTTTGTAGAAATGTCTCTGAACGGCTTGCATGCACTAGACTGGCCTCCTTGTTCTCAGTCCTAATGAAGTAGCTCATTCCATTGAGGTTTTTATTTTAAATTCTTTTTTGGGCAGAGGATGGAGTCTTGCTCTGTCACCCAGAGTGGAGTACAGTGGTGCAATCTTTGCTCACTACAACCTCCACCTCCCTGGCTCAAGTGATTCTCATGCCTCAGCCTCCCAGATAGCTGAGATTACAGGCACACACCACCATGCCTGGCTAACTTTTGTATTTTTAGTGGAATCAGGGTTTTGCCTCGTTGGCCAGGCTGGTCTCAAACTCCTCACCTCAAGTGATCTACTCACCTCGGCCTCCCAAAGTGTTGGGATTATAGGTGTGAGCTATCACGCCTGGCCTCCATTGAGTTAAAATAATGTTCTTTTAATACACGTAAATCTTTTATTTTGAAATGTAAAGATATTTCTTTTAGCTTAGTACTTTGTGAAAATAGAGGAGAGCTGATCATTTTTTATGCTTGATAGCAATTTTAGGTTGAAAAAAATCTCAATTCTTTTTTTGTTGTTAGGGACCCTGGAATGGCTTGGTTATAGCACAGGAACATGGGGTTCGATGGCCTGTTACTAGCTCCACACCTGCCTGTCTTCCATGTTGGCTTCAGTCTCACCAGTCAGGGTCAGCAAGCACCCTTTGCTTATGAGCTGCTCCTCATCCGACAGGCCTCTCTGTGTGGTGGGCACCATGGAGTGAATGCCGTGGCTGCGGGGCTGAGCACAACGGCACCTGCTCTTAAGGGCACAGCAGAAGCAGCAGGTGTTTAGTCTTGGTCGTGGAAGATTCAGAACAGAAACATGATCCTAGAATTTGTTAGTCATTTTTTTTTTATCATTTGTCTTTATCGTTTTATGGGCACTTAAAAGAGGGACAATGTGGTAGAAACAGATACGCTCCAGGGGTCATTTCCTTCATTCCTGTTACTCCAGAGCAGGAGTTGGCAAACTTTTGCCATAAAGGGGCGGATTGTGAATGTTTAGACTTTATGGCCCGTGTCATCGCAGCGGGCAGCTGTAGATGGTATGTAAATGAAGAGGCGTGGCTGTGCTCCAGTGAAACTGACCAAAACAGGCAGCACGCTGGATGTGGCCCACACTTTGCTGATTCCTGTTCAAGGAGAGGGCTTTTGAAAACAAAGCAGACTGACTTTTGTGTTGATTGATTACCCCTGGGGAGGTCCAGTGTGTTCCTGACAGGCCTCACTTGTCCCCGCGGGCACACGCTCCCTGAGGACCCACAGAGTGCCAGAGTCTTGCCCTGCTGCTGCTTCCACAGACCCGCTGACGTTCTTCAACACCTGCCTGGACGCCTCCCAGAAAGAAGCGGTTTCATTTGCGCTGTCGCAGAAAGAACTTGCCATCATCCATGGACCTCCTGGCACTGGGAAAACCACGACTGTGGTTGAGATAATTCTTCAAGCTGTGAAACAAGGCTTAAAGGTGGGCAGTGCATACTACTTCCCTGGCAGAGCCCGTCAGTCCCTGGTCTGTCATATTCAGCAGGTGCTCAGCCAGGTTCAGCCTCAGTTCTGGGAGGATGGGTCAGGAGCATTGCTGAGCATTTACTGATTGAGCATTGGACTGACCTTGTTTGATTTCCAGCAGCCCTGTGAGTCTTGGGGAACATGCGCAGGAACCGTAGCCTGCATTGCTGAAAAAGGCTCCTGGAGCCCTCTGTGCCGTGGCAGCCTTAGTGTGGGCCAGGCCCTGGCCCAGGCTTCCTTTGCTTACTGTGCTGGCTGTGCTCACAGTCCCTGTGCAGGCCCGTGTGGGGCCCTGGAGTTGGCCTGGGCCTGGTCTGTGCCCGTCAGGAGCTCAGCGTCTGGTTGAAGGACACGGTATTGTTACGGCTCATCAGATAGTCTGCTTAATGGCTGTGATGCACATGCCCAGCGCACGGGTAACTGATTTTCTGAGATGTGGAATATAAGATTGTACATTATTATTCACTTACATTTTAATTTTATTTTTATTTTTTGAGACAGTCTCTCGCTCTGTCACTCAGGCTGGAATGTGGAGTGCAGTGGTGGGATCTTAGCTCACTGCAACCTCTGCCTCCTGGTTCAAGTTCAGTTCTCCTACCTCAGCCTCCCAAGTAGCTGGGATTACAGGTGCCCGCCACCATGCCCGGCTAATTTTTGTATTTTTAGTAGAGATGGCATTTCACCAAGTTGGCCAGACTGGTCTCGAACTCCTGACCTTAGGTGATCTGCCCACCTCAGCCTTCCAAAGTGCTTTGATTACATGCGTGAGCCACCGCGCCTGCCTCAGTTCTGTTTTTAATGGTTGAAAAAGGATCTTTTATCATCATCTGCATCAGTTTGAGTCATTATGGATCTTAGCACATGGAGAGCTTTTTGAAAAGCCTTTCTGGTTTATAAAAGTGTTGGATAATGATGAGAATTGGAATAATGGCAAGTTGTGTAGGGTGACATTTACTGGGCACTGCCTACCACCAGGCATCCTTCTGAACGCCCATTTAATCCTCACAGAAACCCTGTGCCAAGGCAAGTGGTTAGTGGCCCCAGTTTATAGATGAGGAAGCCGGGCGTGGTGGCTCACACCTGTGATCTCAGCACTTTGGGAGGCCGAGGCGGGTGGATTACCTGAGGTCAGGAGTTTGAGACCAGCCTGGCCAACATAGTGAAACCCTGTCTCTACGAAAAATACCAAAAATTAGCCAGGCGTGGTGGTGGGCACCTGTAATCTCAGCTACGTAGGAGGCTGAGGCAGGAGAATCTCTTGAACCCAGGAGGTGGAGGTTGTAGTAAGCAGATCACGCCATTGCACTCCAGCCTGGGCAACAAGAGCAAGACTCCATCTCAAAAAAAAAAAGTAGACGAGACTGAGAAACAGGGTCGAGTGCCCAGCACTCAGAATGGCAGAGCCGGAAATGGAACTGGAACTCGGGCAGAGCTGGAGGGAAGCACATCACTTGGTTAAAAGATTACATCCAAGGTTTTCCTGTGAGTGTCTTTGCACGTTTGAAGACTGGTAAGAAAGATGACTTATTGGTAGGAAGCAGATCGGTGGTTTTAGTTGGGTGCCTACTATTCACTAAAAACGATCTAAGATACACCTGTGTGTGTGCTTTTGTGAAGATGTGCCTTGGGACATGGTAGTGGGGTTGGAGGCGATGCCAGGCGTGGAGAGTGGGTGGCTGAGCCTCCTTCCTGAGCTGCTGTTTGTTTTGAGGTTAAGGGCCTGTAAGGACTTTCTTCTCTGCCTCCTCATTTCTAGATGTATCCTGAGGAGTGGAACCCTATAGTTAGATACTTTTTTCAAGTATTTTTTTTTTTTTTTTTTTTTTTTCCCAGAGATGGGATCTTACTATGTTGTTTAGGGTGGCCTCGATCTCCTGACCCCAAGCAGTCCTCACACCTTGGCCTCCCAGAGTGCTAGGATTATAGGTATGAGCCACCGCACCTGGGCAATATCTCACTTTTTTTTCTTTCTGCCCAGAGAAGATGCAATGCCTCATTTTTAATAGTGGAGCTGTGGCTGGGTGTGGTGGCTTATGTCTGTTATCCTAGCACTTTGGGAGCCTGAGGTGGGAGGATCTGGCTGCCAGTGTGTCTGCCTGCCCAGGAGTTTGAGATCAGCTTGGGCAACATACCAAGACCCAGTCTCTACAAAAAAATAGAAAAAATCAGCTGGGCATGGTGATGCATGCCTGCAGTCCCAGCTACTTGGGAGGCTGAGTAAGGAAGCTAGCTTGAGCCCAAGAAGTGATGAAACACCAGGGGCGTGGTCTAGATCTTGCCCTTAGCCACACAGAAAGCCAATCACTGAGGACGAGTATTGCCAAGGAAGAAGCTGTAATCAGATGCTGCAGCAGAGGAGATGGGAGCACATCCTCAAATCCATTTCCCTAACTGGATGAAACTAGGGGTTTATGTAGCAGGGAGGAAATGTAACAATGTACAAGAAAATAGGAACTGGGGAGGGGGCGCAAAGAGGCCCCTGGTGCAGTGGTCTGATGAGTTTCAGATCTTTGATACTTTTTTGGGAGACCTGAAGGTCCTTTTCTGAGGAAGGAACTCACATAAAACAAATACAAATTTGAAGCTTTAACAGCAGGAGGGTCAATTTCTGTTTATCCAGAAGACAACTGTGGGACTATTATTATTATTTTTTTTGGGGGGACGGAGTTTCGCTCTTTGTTACCCAGACTGGAGTGCAATGGTGCGATCTCGGCTCACTGCAACCTCCGCCTCCTGGCTTCAGGCAATTCTCCTGCCTCAGCCTCCTGAGTAGCTGGGATTACAGGCACGCACCGCCATGCCCAGCTGATTTTTTTGTATTTTTAGTAGAGACGGGGTTTCACCGTGTTGACCAGGATGGTCTCGATCTCTTGACCTCGTGATCCACCCGCCTCATCCTCCCAAAGTGCTGGGATTACAGGCTTGAGCCACCGCGCCTGGCAACTGTGGGACTATTGAGCCCGTTTCTCCACTATCTTGCCACTGCACTCCAGCCTGGGCCACAGAGCAAGACCTTGTCTCAAAAAAAAGAAAAAAATATAGTGGAGCTACAGTGTTCGGAAGACCACAGAGTCCATTTGTAACGGGAAAGGTTCCCTTGTCCCCCTTGCAGGGTGTGTGATGGAGTGTGGCTCACTTCTTCAGTGTCCTTTGACTGAAACCTCTGGGGAAGTAGAAGGGCAGGCCATGGGGCTCTGACCTCATGGCAGTGTCTAGGGGTGAATGTTCATAGCTCCGTGTGTTACAGGGGCTCTTAGTTTGCTGTGTATAGGTGGCTTGTGCTAACCAGCTCAATTAGACCCACTTCCTTGTCACAAGGACAGAGGGCTTTCTGTATCCTGGGTTCTCGCCTTGGTGTACCAGAAGAATCGGATCACACGTGGAGAATAAGTGCAAAGTTTTATTGAGTGGAAGTAGTTCTCCGCTGATGGCAGAGCCAGAAGGGAGATGGTCTTCCCCTGGAGTTGGGCCGCTCAGCACCCTGGCTCTCCTCCTCCTGGCCGGGCCAAACTCTGCCTTGTCCTGCTGGTCGATGGTCTGCTGGCTTGCGGGCATCTGTTGGTGTGCTCTTCCACCGGTGTGCTCCCTCGCCATCCAGCTGCTCGTGGCTCCTTCTGCTGATATGCTTCTCTTGATATCCGGCTGCCAGTGTGTCTGCCTGCCAGGGTTTTGGGTTTTTATAGGCCCAGGATGGGGGCATGGCAGCCTTGGCGGCCTTGGAAAATGCAGCATTTGGGCCTGAAAGCAGAGTGCTTGTCCTCACCCAGGTCCTTGGGGGTGGAGCCCTAGCCAGGGACCTGCCTTTCTTTACCTTGTACTTCCCTGCCACCGTCATGTATCACATTCAGAGAAAGTCCCCCATGTTGGACTTTGTCAGATGGTAAGATGATTTGACAGGGAGTATGATGGATGCCTTGCCCCTGATTATTTCAGGGTACACTTCAATCTTGTCAGTCTTTTTCCTTCCAGCTGCAAGTTCACATGTTTTGGTGCTGTGGTGACATACATTGGTGATCTATTCATCGAATCTGTTTGCTGTGTCCCTCAGGCTTCCCCCACCCATGCAGAAGCTGCCTGCTCACTGGGCGCGTGTACCTGCCCTGCCCTTCTCTCTGCCTTTAAGGCTTTTTGTTGTTTTAATGTCCACTTCAGTGGTCTGATTACAAAGTAAATGACCAAGTCCAAACCTGTGGTTCCCAGGTTCTGTGCTGTGCCCCCTCCAACATTGCCGTGGACAACCTGGTGGAGCGCCTGGCTCTGTGTAAGCAGCGGATCCTGCGACTGGGGCACCCCGCCCGCCTCCTGGAGTCCATTCAGCAGCACTCCCTGGATGCGGTGTTAGCACGGAGCGACAGTGCCCAGATTGTTGCCGATATCAGGAAGGACATCGACCAGGTCTTTGTAGGTGTCGTGGCCGGTGTCCACGTGGGGTTTGGGTTTCTGATCTGCAGTCTTTTTAAGGAGCGAATATTTTGTCTGTCTGCATTCCTCTTGCTCTTCTCTTCCATTGATTCCTTTAATAATTTAAAAAATTGGGCTGCCCTGCCCTCCTCTTTTTCTTTTTGAGATGGAGTCTCCCCTTGTCTCCCAGGCTGGAGTGCAGTGGTGCTATCTTGGCTCACTGCAGCCTCCGCCTCCCAGGTTCAAGTGATTCTCGTGTCTCACCCTGCCAAGTAGCTGCGACTACAGGCATGCACCACCACACCCATCTATTTTTTTTTATTTTTTTGTTTTTAGTAGAGACTGGGTTTCGCCATTTTGGCCAGGCTGGTTTCGGACTCCTGATCTCAAGTGATCCACCTACCTCGGCCTCCCAGAGTGCTGAGATTATAGGTGTGAGCCTGGCCAGGGCTGCCCATTTGTGATAGAAAGCTATACCTAGCATTTAATAGAGACTCAACTGTTTTCAGAGTGCTTGGTGAGTAGGTGAGGAATTGTAAAGAAAACATTTTCTGGCCAGGTGCGGTGGTTCATGCCTGCAATCCCAGCACTTGGGGAGGCTGAGGTGGGCAGATCAGTTGAGGTCAGGACTTCGAGACCAGCCTGGCCCACAAGGTGGAACCTGTTTCTACTAAAAATAGAAAAATTATCAGGCATGGTGGCAGATGCTTATTATCCCAGCTACTTGGGATGCTGAGGCAGGAAAATCGCTTGAACCCAGGAGGTGGAGATTGTAGTGAGCCAACATTGCTCCACTGCACTCTAGCCTAGGCAACAAAGCAAGACTGTCTCAGAAAGCAAAACATTTCCTGGGTGTCTTTCTGTCTGGTCCTGTTGTGTTGCTAATGGTGGCAATGGGAGAAAAGCAGCCTGAAGATAAACATTCAAAAAACAGGCATCCTCCTAGTGCTCTCTGTTTATTTTACCTTCTTGTGAAAGAGGATGCCAGTCGCCTAGGAAGTAGGGTGGTGATGGCTTCATTCAACTTGAGAGGGCCTTTTCCTCCCAGCCAACACGTTACAGCTCTTTGGTTTTCCTGTGTCCACTTTGCTCCAGTGTCCGTGCTCACATCCTGTCCTGTGTGGTCCCCACTGGCACCTGCACTCCTCCGTGTCCTAGCCTCAGAGGAGTGATGGCAGCAGGGAGGGTGCAGGGAGCCAGTCTGCTGTGGGCCAATGGTGTAGAGGCCGCCTGGGTAGCAGTGTGGGGATGGGCTACCTGCTGGGAGGTGGAAGAAGGAAAGATGCGTGCCATGCAGGTTAAAGTGGCATGGGAATATGGGTGCTGTTTGCTCATCACAAATGTGAGTGATTTCATTTCCTGTTGAAATTGGTGCTTTTGGGGATTTTCTTTCTTTGTAAATTATACACAATAAAACACCTCCTATCACCCCTGCTAAAACTGCATCCTCCAAAGTAGAAATCACAAATAAGGAAAGCTTACATTTTTTTGAGATACTAAAGTAAGTTGAGGTTTTGATTATGGTTGAAAAATTTTTTTAATCTCTTGAAAAACGTAGAATAACATGTGAAGCTCTGTCTCTCACTTAGCAAGCTCCCACATCCCAAATCCTGAGGTGGGCAGGTGCTTTTTCTTCCCCAAGATCAAATGCCTCTGTGCAGGGCAGGGTTGATCCCATTTCTGGTCTCATCAGAGTTAAAAGCATGGCCTCTTTCTAGGACTTAAAATGCCCCTGTGACTTGAGGCAAGTGAGGATGGAAGGTGCTTAGTTGCGTGTGTGTAGAGTGGAAGTACAAGGTTGGATTGAAATAAGTGTATCTTCTTTGTTTCTCTTTATAGGTGAAAAACAAAAAGACCCAGGATAAGAGAGAGAAAAGTAATTTTCGCAATGAAATTAAGCTGTTAAGAAAAGAACTGAAGGAGAGGGAAGAAGCAGCTATACTGGAGAGCCTCACTTGCGCAAACGTGGTCCTTGCAACAAACACAGGTGAGGGGGCGTCTCCATCCTGCCTCTGTGGCAGGCGTTGGGGTCTGTTCCTGCTTCTGTTTTCTGGAAGAGTTTGTTTAGAATTCGTATTTCTTTCTTAAAAGTTGGGTAGAGTTCACTAGTGAAGCCTTCCGCTGGAGTTTTCTTCATAGAGAGATTTTTAACTACAAATTCAACTTCAATAGGTAAAGGACTATTCAGGTTGTCTTTTCTTCCATGAGCTCACATCTTTCTTTGTCCATTTCATCTAAGTTGTGGAATTTAGAGGAATGGAGTGGCTCCTAACATGCCTTTATTCTTTTCATATCTGCAGAATCTGTCATGGTGGAACCTGTATTCTTCTTGATACTGGTTTGTGTGTTCTTCTTTTTCCTGATCTTCTGGCTGGAGGTTTTTTTTTCTTTTATGTAAATTTGTGTGTATATATGTATATTTTTAAGAGACAGGATCTGTCAGATGTGGTGGCTCACACCTGTAATCCCAGCACTTTGGGAGGCTAACACGGGCGGATTACCTGAGGTCAGGAGTTTGAGGGCCAGCCTGGCCAACATGACAAAACCCCATCTCTACTAAAAATACAGAAATTAGTCAGGAGCTGTGGTGTGTGCCTGTAATTCCAGCTACTCAGGAGGCTGAGGCAGGAGAATCGCTTGAACCCAGGAAGCGGAGGTTGTAGTGAACCAAGATCGCACCATTGCATTCCAGCTTGGGTGGCAGAGTGAGATCCCACCTTAAAGCCCCAAAAAACAAAAAAAAAGTGACAGGGTCTCACTGTGTTGCCCAGGCTGGTCTCAAACTCCTGGGCTTAAGGGATCCTCCTGCCTTAGCCTCCTAAAGTGCTGGGATTACAGGCGTGAGCCACCGCACCCAGCCTGGCTGGAGGTTTCAATTGATCTCCCCAAGGAACCAGCTTTTGCTTTTTCTCTATTGTTTTTCTATTTCATTTATTTCCACGTTGATCTTTACTGTTTTCTGTTTTCTTGGGCTTGTTCTTTTTCAAGCTTCTTAATGTAGAAGCCGAGATCATTGATTTGAGACTTTTTTTTTTTTTCTAATACTGTATAGGCATTTAGCTCCATAAATGTCTCCCTATGTACTGCTTTTGTGGCATCCCACAAATTCTGATACATTTCATTCATTTCAAAATGCTATCTCATTTGCCTTTTGATTTTTTTAGAAGTATTATATAGTTTCCAAATAGTTGGGAATTTTCCAGATATCTTTCTGTTGATTTCTTTTTCTCTCTTCTCTCCTCTCCCGTCCCTCCCTGCCTGTCCCCGTCCCTGTTGCGTATGGGATCTCATTATGTTGCCGAGGTTGGACTCGAACTCCTGGGCTCAAGTGATCCTTCCAACTCAGCCTCCTGAGGAGCTGGGGCTACTGGCATGTGCCACTGCACCTGGCTTACTTTCTGTTGATTTCTAATTTAATTCCTTGTCGTCAGAGAACATACCCTCATGACTTGGATCAGTTCATTGAGACTTTCTTTATCGTCCAGAATCTGGTCTCTGTCTTGGTGGGTGTTCCATGCGCACTTGAAAGAATGTATGTTCTGATATTGTCAGGTGTTCTGTAACTTAATTATTTAATTATTTTAGATACCTCAAGTAAGTGGAGCCATGCAGCATTTGTCTTTTTGTGACTGGCTGGTTTTTTTTTTTTTGAGACGGAGTTTCACTCTTGTTACCCCGGCTGGAGTGCAATGGCGCCATCTTGGCTCACCGCAACCTCTGCCACCTGGGTTCAGGCAATTCTCCTGCCTCAGCCTCCTGAGTAGCTGGGATTACAGGCACGTGCCACCATGCCCAGCTAATTTTTTGTATTTTTAGTAGAGACGGGGTTTCACTATGTTGACCAGGATGGTCTCGATCTCTTGACCTCGTGATCCACCCGCCTCAGCCTCCCAAAGTGCTGGGATTACAGGCTTGAGCCACTGCGCCCGGCCGACTGGCTGGTTTTATTGACCATTATGCCCTCAAGGTTCAGCCATGTTATCTAGCCTTCTTTTTATTTGTAAGAGACAAAGTCCCATTCTGTCACCTAGGCTGGAGTATGGTGGTACAGTCAGAACTCACTGTAACCTTAAAGTTGTGGCCTCAAGCAGTCCTCCCATGTTGACCTCCTGAGTTGCTGGAATTACAGGCGTGGGCTGTTGCACCCGTATTTCCATGTGGTATCATTTCCTTGTACCTGAAAGATGTCCATTATCATTTCTTGTAGTGTGGGTCAGCTGGTGATGAATTCTAATAGCTTTTGTATGTCTGAAAATAACTTGATTTCACCTGCAGTTTTGAAAGATATTTTTGCTGGGTGAGAATTCTAGATTAACACTTTTTTTCCTTGCCGTATTTTGAAGATGTTGTTCCACTGTCATCTGCATGAGTATGTCTGAAGAGAAATCTGTCATTCTTATCTTTGTTTCTTTGTATGTAATGTGTCTTTTTTCTAATGTCTGAATTTAAGATTTTTTTTTGGCCAGGTGTGGTGGCTCTCGCCTGTAATCTCAGCACTGTGGGAGGCTGAGTTGGGCAGATCACCTGAGGTCAGGAGTCTGAGACCATTCTGGCCAACATGGTGAAACCCCATCTCTACTAAAAATACAAAAAAATTAGCAGGGCATGGTGGAGGGTACCTGTAATCCCAGGCTCTTCAGGAGGCTGAGGCAGGAGTAATTGCTTGAACCTGGGAGGCGAAGATTATAGTGAGCTGAGATCAGACCACTGCACTCCAGCCTGGGCAACAGAGCCAGACTCTGTCAAAAAAAGAAAAAAAAAAAAAACCACATTTTTTTCTTTATCACTGGTTTTAAGCAATTTGATCAGGATTTTCCCTGGTGCAGTTTGCTTCATGTTTTTTAGAATTGCGGTGAGGACACAGTATGAGATCTACCCTCTGAAATGTTTAAGTGTACAATACAGTATTGTTAACTAATGGCATTGTGCTGCACAGTGGATCTGTGGAATTCATCTTGCACAGCTGAACCTTTCTATGTGCTGACTGCCGTTTGAGTTCACTGATTTCCTTCCTTCATGCCTCATCTAACGTCTGTCCCATCCAGTATAACTTTCATCTGACATCCAGAAATAAGATTTGAGTCTTTTTATATCTTCGATGTCCTTATTTACTTTTTTGAACATTTGGAATACAACTGTAGTAACTCTTTTTAATGTTCTGGACTATTCTTTCTATCATCGATGTCATTTGTGGTCTCTTTCGATGAACTGTTCCCTGCGTGTGGTTGTGTTTTCCTACCTCTTTGCGTGCCTGCTAATGTTTGTTTGGATACCAGACATTGGGGGTTTTGTGTTGTTGCATGCTGAATATTGAATAGTTTTGTATTCCGGTAATTTTTTTTATTTTTTTGAGACAGGGTCTTGCTCGTTGCCCAGACTGGAGTGCAGTGGTGTGATCTTGGCTCACTGCAACCTCTGCCTCCTGGATTCAAGCAATTCTCTTGACTCAGTCTCCTGAGTAGCTGGGACTGCGGGCACGCACCACCATGCCCGGCTAATTTTTTGTATTTTTGCAGAGACAGTTGGCCAAGGTGGTCTTGATCTCTTGACCTCGTGATCTGCCCACCTCGGCCTCCCAAAGTGCTGGGATTACAGGTGTGAGCCATCGTGCCCGGCCAATTTTTGTATTTTTACTAGAGACGGAGTTTCACCATGTTGACCAGGCTGGTCTCCAACTCCTGACCTCAAGTGATCTGTCTGCCTCAGTCTCCAAAAGTGCTGGGATTACAGGCCTAAGCCACTGCACCCAGCCTCCTATAATATTCCTGCATTTGGTTCTGGGAAGCAGTAAATTTACCTCTAAACAGTTTAATCCTTTTGAGTCTCACTTTTGAGATTTGTTAGGTCCTGGATCACTGCTTAGTCTACGGTTAATATTCCCCAGTACTGAGGTAAGACCCTTTGAGCTGTCTACCCAGCGTACCTTGCAACACGAGATTTTCTAGTTTGACTGATGGGATTGGGTACTATTCCCAGTATTGTGTGAGCACTGGGCACTTTTCTCTAATTGTTTTGGATGATTATTTCCCGTTCTCATGAGCGTGTGCTGATCATGTACCCACGGGCCTCCTCTGCAGATCTCTAGGGTTTTCTCTCTATTTAGCAGTCTCTTTGGCCTTTCATCCTGGAAACTCTCCCTGCATTGAACTCCAGGGATTCTTAGCCTTGTCTTCTCAAATCAGGGAGGCTTCTAGGCTCCACCTGGCTGCCCCTTCTCTGTACTCCCTCCTGGAAACTCTCAAGGCTGAAAGCTTGGGCAACCCCTGGGCTCACCTCCTTTGTGTCTCAAAAGTTACTTTTCTTTGTTACCTGTTGTCTACAGTCCTGAAAAATGTGGTTTCAGTTATTTAAAAGAAATTTTAAATAACTGGATGGGGGGATGTTATTTCTGATGGGAGAGTAAATGCAGTCCCTGCTATTCTGTCTTGGGCATAGGTGGAGGATGCCCGTTCTCTCTTGTAGCTGTGAGAGTGTGCTCCTGTTAACAGAGCTGCTTACCTGGTGACTGTTGTGGGAATCTTGTCAACCTCCATTTTGGGGTTTAGGAATGTCTGTTGTGTTTGTGAGACCTCTGTGTTGTTGCTGCATGATAACGGTACAGGTACCACAAATTTCGCAGCTGAAAGCAACCGTTTATTATTCTACAGTTTCTCATGTGGTTGTTGGCAGCTTTCAGTTCACTGTGGGTTCTTGCTGGGTGTTGGCTGGAGGCTGCTCTTAGCTGCCTCACCAACATGGCTGCTTGCTTCCTAAAAGCTAGCAAGAGACACAGTCTCCTAACATGTTGATTTATCATCTTATGTAATGTTGTCGAGGATGTCACATCTCATCACCTTTGCCCTATTCTGTGGGTTAGAAGCAAGTTTCAGGCCCCACCCACAATCGAGGGGAAGGGATTATTCAAGATGTGAACACCAGTGGCCAAGATTCTGGGGCGTACCTTAGAGCAAGTTTGTCCAACCCAAGGCCTGCAGGCTGCCTATAGCCCAGGATGCTTTGAATGTGTCCCAACACAAATCTGTAAACTTTCTTAAGGGGTGTGTGTGTGTGTGTTTAAGCTCATCAGCTATTTTTAATGTTTGTGTATTTTATGTGTGACCCAAGACAGTTCTTCTGATGTGGCCCTTGGAGGCCAAAAGATTGGACACCCTTGCCTTCAAGTCTGCCTGTCACAGCCTTTCAGCTGGTGGGCTGCTGTAAGAAACAGAATCCAGGTTCTTTTTTTTTTTTTTTTGAGACAGTGTCTCACTGTGTTGCCCAGGCTGGAGTGCAGTAGCACAATCTTGGTTCACTGCAGCCTCTGCCTCCCAGGTTCAAGTGACTCTCAGGCCTCAGCCTCCTGAGTAGCTGATTGCAGGTGCATGCCACCATGCCCAGGTAATTGTTTTGTATTTTTAGTAGAGACAGGATTTTACCATGTTGGCCAGGCTGGTCTTGAACTCCTGACCTCAAGTGATCCATCCACCTTGACTTCCCAAAGTGCTGGAATTGTAGGAGTGAGCCACCACACCTGGCTAGGTTCTGATTGGCTTTATAGTTACTGCTTTATCTTGTGTTTTAAATCAGATGGGAGGAAAAAAAAGTCACCAGCAGAAAATACATTTATGGTGTCTTTTATATTTACTCATGTAGTTGCCTGTATTTCTTCATGTAGTTTTGAGCTACTGTTTCCAAAGGACTCTCTTTGGTATTTCTTGAAGAACAGGTTTGCTAGTGACAGATTCACTAAGCTCATCTTTATCTGGACAGGTCTTAGTTTCTCCTTCATTTTTAAAGGATAGTCTTGCTGGTTATACTTCCTGGTTGACAGTCTTCCAGCTCTTTGAATGTGTCATTACACTGCCTGCATGGTTTCTGATGAGAAAGCAGATACTGATCTCATTGAGGGCTCCTTATATGTGACAAGTTGCTACTCTATTGCTGCTTTCAAGCGTTTCTCTTTCGTCTTTTGAGTGTGTGATTATGATGTTTAGGTGTTAATCTCTGTGAGTAAATTACATGGAGTTTGTGGAGCTTCTTGGATGTTTAGATCCATGTTTTTCATCAAAGTTGGGGAGTTTTCAGCCATTATTTTTTCAGGTATTCTTTCTGCCCTTATTCTACTCTCCTCTCCTAGAATTCCCATTATGAATCAGTTATCCACTTGATGGTACCCTGCAGGTCTCTAAAGCTCTGTTCCTTTTCCTCCGTTTTAAAATTTCTGATCCTTAGACTGGATCTTCTCAATGGGCCCCTCTTCAAGTTTGCTGATCATTCTCTGCTATTGAGTTCTTTTAGTGAATTTCAATTATTGTACTTTTCAACTCGAGAATTTCTGTGTGGTAGTTTTGTTTTTTGAGATGGAGTCTCGCTTTGCTACCAGGCTGGAGTGCAGTGGTGCGATCTTGGCTCACTGCAACCTCTGCTTCCCAGCTTCAAGAGATTATCCTGCCTTAGCCTCCCGAGTAGCTGGGACTACAGGTGCGTGCCACCATGCCCAGCTAATTTTTGTATTTTTAGTAGAGATGGGGTTTCACCATGTAGGCCAGGATGGTCTCGATCTCTTGACCTTGTGATCTGCCTGCCTTGGCCTCCCAAAGTGCTGGGATTACAGGCGTGAGCCACCACGCTGACCTCTGTGTGGCAGATTATAAAAAATTATTTCTGTCTCTTTGTTGATGTTCTCTTATTTGGGGAGAGATTCTCACACTTCATTTCTTTAGACTTGGTTTCCTTTTGCTGTTTGACCATACTTAGAATCGCTGATATTTCAAGTCTTTGTCTAGTAAGACCAGTATCTAGGCTTTCTCGAATATCTTGTTTATTATTTATTTATTTTTGGAGATGGAGTCTTGCTCTGCCACTCAGGCTGGGGTCCTGTGATGCAATCTCAGCCTGCTGCAATCTCTGCCTCCCACAACCTCTGCCTCCCAGGTTCAAGTGATTCTCCTGCCTTAGCCTCCTGAGTAGCTGGGATTACCTGCACCCACCACCACACACAGCTAATTTTTGTATTTTTAGTAGAGACGAGGTTTCACCGTGTTGGCCAGGCTGGTCTCGAACTCCTGACTCAATTGATCCACCCACCTCGGCTTCCAAAGTGCTGGGATTGCAGGTATTAGCCACTGCTCCTGGCCTCAAGTATCTGTTGATTGCCTTTTTTCCCCTGTATGTTGGCCGTATTTTCATGACTCTCTACGTACCTTGTAGTTTTGTTGAAAATGATCATTTTAAATAATAGAATGTGGCAACCCTGCAAGTCAGGTTCTCTTCCCACTCCAGGGTTTGTTGTTGCTTCCACTTGTTTTATTAGTGATTTTTCTGGACTCATTCTGTAAAGTCTGTATTTTTTGTCTTCGATGGCCATTAAAGTCTAATATAGCTTAGTGGCCAGCTAGTGATTAGACAGGAATCCCCCTGAACTCCTGGAGCCATAAATGCCCCATTCTTTGCAGCTCTGTGTGTGTGCTTGGACACACCTCCAACACAGAGCCAGGCTGTTAGTGACTCTCATCTTTCACTTCCTGTGTGGGCAGTGCCTTGAGCTGGGGGCCACAGGTGAGAACTCAGGACCTTCCCAGGTCTTTCCCGGGCTCTGTGCATGTGTGTGGCCTTCTAGATTCCCAGGAATGTGTTGGACTTTTTTCAAAGCCCCCTGAGGCATCTCATTCTCCAGCTTAAAGCTTTGTTTGGTTATCCTATCATTTGCTCCAACCATTATTCCCTGTCTTAGAAAGCTATGATGTTCGACAGTTACCTCTGATTGTTTTTGACAAACACCACCAGGGAAAAGGCTGTTTGCACTGCGTGAGCTCAGAGAAAGTCTTTTGAGTGTGGTCTACCAGAGGGCTCCCGGACAGATGAGATAAGCACAATGTTTGGATTGGGGCTTTGTGGAATGCCAGGCCTGTTCTGCATCCCGGGGCTGCCAGGTGCTGGTTTTCACCCTAACTTCAGGCTGAGGGTTTCAAGGCTGCCATAGGTTGAGGAGGGATGGCTGGGAATAGGGCAGGTTTGAGTGCTGCAGAGCTCCCATGCTGATGGGGATTCAGACACTTTCCTGGGATGAACACTTTCCCTGACTGCTGCAAGCCTTTGGCAAGTTTCCAGAGTGCTGAGAAAGTTGATTCTGACCATTTGCCAGTGTCTTGCTTTCGTGGAGGAGAGAATTCTCAGAGTTGATGAGAGTCTCTATGCTGACATCCTTCTCTGGCTTCAAGGAGAGCACTTGCTGGAAATCAGGAGGCACCCGGACTCCCACAAGGTCAGCCTGTGGCCTTTGTGTTCTTCTGCTCCCTCCTGGTTGTTGGGGAACTAGAGTGAGTTCCTGGAAGTGCTTGTCCATCATGAAGTCTGGTTTCTCTCTGTACTGTGAAGTCACATCTGTGACTAACGTGTCTCAATTATCCAAAGCCCAGCCAAGTTCTGTCTCCTCTCTTGGTCCTTTTTCTAGCCATCTCTGAAGAGTCAATCCTGGGAAATTTCTCAGTGCATGTCTTCATCATGACTTTATGACATATCATTAGCGTAATTCACTCACGGGAGGCAGAAAGCATGGGAACTCATACTGATCACAGTTATGGAAGCCTGCCTTCTCACACCAGGCACTTTGTGTATGGTATCGCCCACTGTCGTACGGTCGTTCGAGATGTAGGTGTTGTCTGTGTTTGTGGATAAGGAAACCGGCTCCAGGGTGGGAGGCTCGCCTGAGGCCCCTGCTGTGTGCTGGTGTTGGCGTTGGCGTGGGACCCGAGTCTTGCTCAGAGCCTCAACTCTGCACTCTGCTGCTCCGTGTCCCAGGAAGGAAAAGCTGCTATAATGGGTTTGTGTTGCCAAATACGTGGAGGTTTTTTTCTGAGTGAGTGCTCAGCAGTTGATTGTTCTGTATGTCCAAGAAAGTCACTTTCTACATTTAGAAAATAATTAAGTTGCAATATTTAGAACTAAGGCAGCATCCCTTGGGCTAGGGTCACAGCCACAAAGGGGTGATTAATTTTGCCGATTGAAAGTCAGAGTGGCCTGTGGCCAGAGGACTCACTGCTTACAATGCAGGTGAGCTGGATCCATGAGTTTTAAAATGTCCTGGCCAAGTTTTTATTATAAGATACAAATTCATCCCACATAGTTGTAATGCAAGCCTAGATTATGAAGCACCCAGCTTGGTGGTGTGTCCTCCAGCATGGCTGCGGCTGTCAGGAAGCAGCCATGCCCCTGGACACCTGAGGCTCCCTCTTTCCACCAGGTGCATCTGCCGATGGCCCCCTGAAGCTGCTGCCCGAGGGCCACTTCGACATGGTGGTCATTGATGAGTGCGCCCAGGCCCTGGAGGCCAGCTGCTGGATCCCCCTGCTGCAGGCCGGAAAGTGCATCCTGGTGGGCGATCACAAGCAGCTGCCCCCCACCACCGTCTCTCACAGGTAAGGCCCCTTTGCCGGAGGTGCCTTTCTTTGCCCCGCCCGCCACCCTTGATACCGACCTCCCGGGCTCACGAGGAGCCCCTGCAGTGCCTCCTCTGAAGATTTCTCCGCACGGCTCCCACCCCGCCTTATTGCATCTATTCATCTCGACGTGGGATCTGTGAGATCCTGTGCTCCCTGAGGGCAGGGCCACATCCCCTTCATCTCCATAGCCTCAGAACTGGACGCAGGGCCTGGCACATTTCTGGTGCTGCGTCCCTGCTTGTTGAGTTGAATATCCCCTCACGAACCAGGCAGGCTTGATGGTAGAGTTGCGCGAGAGCCTTGGGTTCTCCTGGGCTAGGCTAACTGGCTTCTGGGTGGATTAGGCCACAGTGCAGGTGGATTCTTTAGTCTTCAATCTGTAGACACATCCCTGGATGGAGGGCACTGGGCAGAGACGCAGCAAACCACGATTCTACCCTGCGGAGACACCTGAGCCCTGATGCAGTGGCCTGGCCTGGGCTGTCCTGCTGGAGGAAGTGCTGCCCACCCCCGGCCCCTCCCTCACCTCTTCCCACACTACCCTGCACTCACTGCTCCAGCCACACAGGCCTCGCTGGCCCCTCTGCCTGGACCACTCCTGCCTGGGCGTGATGGGCGTGCCCTCCCTCCAGATGAACCTCTGCGTGGTATTCCATGATTGTCCTTACACGAGGCCTGTGAACAGGGCCTGGCACGTGGGCTGTCTTTGAACAAGTCCCTATTCAGAAAGTTATCCCTGAGGAGTAAAACGCTTCGAGATGCCTGTATCCCGGCTCTCACTTCCACCGGGAGATTGGTTTCTTCTGATTTCTGCTGCCATTTGAAACACTTCTCTATTTTCACCGCGGGTGTGTAGAAGCTACAAACTCTTGTTTTCTGAGGACCAGAAAAAGATGCACAGAAAGCCTGTTGAGTAGAATCTCATCAAAGGGGAGTGGGCATCCCAGGAGTCAGGGGTATGTTAGCCAGGGTGCCTCAGAGAGAGAGGTGTCAAAACGGTACTCGAGGGCGCTTTGGGAGGAAGACGTGGGAGACGAAGATGGCGGGACAGGGGAGTGCTGGGGAAGCGTTCCGCAAGGATGGCCTGGGGGAGAAACGTCGGCGTCTGGAGGGGAAATGTTGCAGGATCTCTGGGGTGTTGATTTTTCTGGCTAGAAACCTCTGTGGCTGCAGCACCTTTGCCCCAGTTCTTGTCCTGCATCCAGGAAGAATGAGGTCTGCAGACAAGTGAAGGGTGAAGAGAGTTTTATTTAGTGTTAGCTCAGAGGCGTGCGTATCCCATCGAGTGTTCGGCTCTCCGCAGAGAGGGGGCACTGGAGAAGGGTGGCTGCTCTCTGTAGGCAAGTCATCTAGACGTCTCTGCAGGTCTCTGAGGCTCTCAGCAGAGAACGTAGCTCCTCTCTGTGCTGTTGTGTCTCTGCCTTCTCCATCCTCTGGCCGTCTTCTTGCCTTCTCTGGCTGAGCCCCGGGCTTTTCTAGATCTCAGAGGGAAGGAAGTGTGTGCCAGTTGGCCCATGGGTGGCCATGGGTGGGTGGCCATGGGCAGGCCTGGAAGAGGCACCAGGAGTCCCCACTCTGGTCCGCAGGACTGGCAGCCCGACCCCCAGCCTTCAGGCCCTCCTAGCCTTCCACTGCCTGCTTCTACCCAAGACTCCGTCTGTCTCCTGCTGCCATTTATGGTCCCAGGGCTTGGCACCAACCCAGCTGAGATCGGAATGGGTGCTGGGAGCCAAGAGAGGCCAGAGGAGACACCCCTGAGCCTGCAGGGACTGTGGGGAGGTCCTTCCTGGGGAGCCTGAGGGTGCAAGCTGCAGAGTGGGAGGGCAGCCACGGCTGCACCCAGGAGCTCCTACACCCCCAGTTTGGAGGACGCAGGGCTCCCCCATGTTCCTGGCTCCTGCCTGCTTCATGGAGCTGGAGGCCCAGGTCTGCAGCCACAGGTCTGGCGGCTGCTACTGCACCTGGAAGGGCAGATCCTGGCTGTTCCTGGCTCACCCCAGAGTACAGGGAGGCTTGAATCTACAGCTGCAGTTTGGGCAGCTGTAGCCCCACCCCCCTGGGCAGGGGCCTGGGTCTGCAGCTGTAATTTCTGCTGGGAGAGCTCCCGCCCAAACTCAGAAGGGGCAGGGCTCCTGCTGGCTCCATGGAGTGTGTAGCCACAGCCACGTTTCCCTGCTGCAGCCGGCAGGATGACAGCACCCTCTGCCATCAGAACTTGCCTAGGAGCAGGGAGGACAGGCATGGGAGTACGCTTCTTCAGTGGCGGCTTCCAGGGGAGGTTCTCCAGACGTCCCTAAAGGAGGGCTTGGTCTTCTGGAAAGCCTTTGGGTGGAGGAAGTTTGGAACTGTGCCCTGGGGCAGGGACCCCATTGCATTCCTGGAGAGAGTAGCATGGTTTCGGGGGAAAGTTGGGTGGCGTTGTGCTGGGTTTTGGGTTTGGTTTGCAGTTGGTGCTGATCATCACTTCCTGTCCTTGCTCTGTTGGCATTAATTATGTTTAGTAGAGATCTTTTATGAAAAATGGGTTAATCACAGATGTCTTGTAAGTTTCCAGAGGGAGGGTCTCTGGAGTGGAGCTGAGCACTGCCCCAGGGTTTTGGTGGGGTTGGTGAGCCATAGTGGTCCAGATGGTGGGCTCTGGCGCCAGGCGGCCCGGGCAGGTCCCGGCTCTGCAGCTCGCTAGTGGGGCAGCTGTGGGCTGGCGCCTTCCCTCTGTCTCGCCCTACTTGCATGTAACATGGGAATCGTAACAGTAGCCACCTCATGAGGCGTTACCAGGATGAAGGGATTGAGTCCACACCTGGTGCACCCAGCAGGGCCTGGCGCCTGGGCAGTGCCAGCGGGGGCAGCCATTCTCGGTGGGAGTGGACTGCTCACAGCTGGAGCACGTTGGAGTGTCCATTCTCTATTGTGGCTGTGACAAATGACCACAGACTTAGTGGCTCAAAACAGCAGACTTACCAAACAACAGTTCTGGAGGTCAGGTGTCCAAAATCAGTCTCACCTGGTCACAGTTGAGGTGTGGGTAGGGTTGGTTCTTCTGGAACCAGGGTCCAGGGGAAAATCTGTTTCCTGGTCTTTTCCAGTCCTGGAGGCTATTTCTTGACTTGTCGTCCTTTCCTCCATCTACAAAGCCAGCAGCGTAGCGTCTTCACATCTCTCCCAGGAGTGGCCTTCTCTGACTCTGACCCTGACCCTCCTGTGCCCCTCTTATAAGAGCCTTGGGTTGTCACCCAGGTCATCCAGGTCTCCTCGCCATCCCAGCATCCTTAGCTGCTTCTCAGCTGCAGTGTCCCTGTTGTCTTGTCAGGGAACATTCACAGGTCTTGGCGATTGGATGTTAAGTACCTTTGGGGCCGTGGTACCGACCGCACCCACTGGTGACTTCTGGGTCAGAACCCAGAGGAGAGTCGGGTCCTGAGGTTTGGGGCCTGGACTCTGGGACTCAGGCTTGCCTTCCCTGTTTCTCCCTCTTGGGCACAGGGCTGCGCTGGCGGGACTGTCGCTCAGCCTGATGGAGCGCCTGGCCGATGAATATGGCGTGAGGGTGGTGCGGACGCTGACCGTGCAGTACCGTATGCACCAGGCCATCATGCGCTGGGCCTCGGAGGCCATGTACCTCGGGCAGCTCACAGCCCACCCTTCCGTGGCGGGGCACCTCCTGAGGTGAGTAGCTTGGCGCCAACCCCTGCCCCATCCTTCTCCCCTGGCTAATTCTGTACGTCACCTGTTTCTACACAGCAAGCTAAAGTGAAGCTTTCCACGTGAAAGTCGACTCTGAGGCTGGCTTTTTGGAAGAGAGCTGGCCTTGCCCTGGAGAGCTGGGTTGGGCCCACTCCCTCCCAGCTGATGCCCTGATGTGCCTATCGTCCTCCCCTGCCTTAGCCTTCTCATGGGAGGGTCGGCTCTGTCAGGTGGAGCCTCAGTGCTGTGCTGTGGTTCCCCTGATGTGCTCCCTCTGCTTGTGTGCCAGGGACCTCCCAGGTGTGGCTGCCACGGAGGAGACGGGCCTGCCCCTGCTCCTGGTGGACACCGCTGGCTGCGGGCTGTTTGAGCTGGAAGAGGACAACGAACAGTCCAAAGGGAACCCTGGTGAGCTTGCTCGGGATGGCCAGCTTTTTTGTTTAAACATACCTCAAGCTCTTTAAAAATAAAAGGTGCTTAAATTGCACAATTCCGAAGGAGCTGAGTTACTGATGACGTGAAAGGTTTGGAGCTCTCCACTCCAAGAGACTGAGCAGCAACATGTTCTCAGGGTGAGCAGGCCGCTGCTGGGCGAGGTGCGCCTGAGAGCGTTTGACGGCCCTCCCTGAATGGTGTCCCAGCTCCACCTGGCTGGCCTGGCGATGGGAAAATGCCTTGCTCAGCCGACACCACTGTCTCCCCGGTTCCAGGTTGAACAGGATGCACAGCCATACAACTCAAAAGGCCTTCATTGTTGATGTGAAATTCGTTAGCTGGGCATGGCTGGTCCTGGGGCCTGGCACACAGATGATTAGCTGCCAGGAAGTCAGCCACCTGGGGCACAGTGTAGGACCAGCTGGCCATGATAGAAAGGTGCCCAAAACACACGTTACAGTGGATGCCAGCCCAGGGTGCCCTGCGCTGCCCGCCAGCCCTTTGTTTCCTTCCAGGCGAAGTCCGCCTCCTCAGTTTGCACATCCAGGCTCTGGTGGACGCCGGTGTTCCAGCCCGTGACATTGCCGTGGTCTCGCCGTACAACCTCCAGGTGCAGGGGGCCCCTTTTCTCCCTCTACAGAGCGGCAGGGCTCACATGCCGAGAGGCTGAAAGAAAAAGAGAATCTGTTGGCCGTGGTGACTGAAAGTTCAGGGCTAGGGCTGACCTCATTGTGACTGGATCCAGGGCCCAGATGATGTGGGCACGGGCCCCGCCCCACCCGCCCTGCCCAGTGCCCCGTCTTCTGCACTGGCTTCGTGTTCTGGCCAGATTTCCCGGGTGGCCCCGGCAGCGTCGGCGGACCCAGCCCTTCCACAGGCAGCCCTGGCGGAACAGCCTGGCCTTTCCCAGCATTTCCCACAGGAGCCTCAGCCTTGAACCTTGTTGGTCTGGCTCAGGTCGTGTTCCCCTCTGTCTCTTGTTTTGTAGAAAAACGTACCTGCTGAAGTATGGGGAGGGTCTCTGGAAGTGGCCGTCACCCTTCCTGGTGTGTGGGCGTCACACATAGGGCTGTCATGAGCCCACAGAAATGCTGAAATGCCAGGGACGGGGTGCCGTGTTTGGCGTGCATGCGTGTCTGTGAGGAGGCTGGGCTCAGGCTTTCCCCACAGGGCCCCTGCAGGCTCCCTTCCTGGGTCCTGCCTGTTGAGCAGCGCAAGGCCCTGTGCTGAGCTGAAGGGCAGGGTCTTGGCGCACTGGCATTGGGGTGAGGAGGCCATAATCTGGCTGGTGTTTCAGGTGGACCTGCTCAGACAGAGCCTCGCGCACAGGCACCCTGAGCTTGAAATCAAGTCTGTGGATGGCTTCCAAGGCCGAGAGAAGGAGGCCGTGATACTGTCCTTCGTCAGGTCCAACAGGAAAGGTACGGACCCTTGTCAGAGCCCTTTGGGGACAGCACAGAAGTGAATTTATTGATGCAGGGGCATATTGGGTATCTACTGGTGCCATACTGGTTGCTGGTGGTGTGGGCATGGAGCAGCTTCTGTTCTCAGCAAGCTCACATCAGGCAAAGCAGAGGGAGCAGACTGTAGAGGCCCAGAGGCATGGGTGTGTGGTCAGGGAGCAAGTGGCAGGGGTGGCAGCTGGGGGTGCAAGGTAGGCTGGAATGGCCAGGATGTCCTGCTGAGGAGGTGGAGCCCCGTCCTGCCTGAGCTGGCTTTTAGCCTCAGTGCGCAGCGCCGCAGGGTGTGGCGGTCATGCTGTGGCTTCTGTGCTGCTGTGGTTTGTGGGCTTTCCTTTCGGGATGAGAGTCGTTCCCAGAAACAGGTGTGGTGAATGGGTTTTGTGAGACGTTCTCAGAAGGCAGAGAGCAGACGAGTCCTGGCTATAAGCTGTGGGGAAAAGACGGGAAGATGCTGGAAGGTTTCTTGCGCTTTCTCCCTGGTGCGAGCTGTAGCCACATCCCAGGCGGCCCCTGAGGCTGGCTTAGGCAGAAAGAAAGGAGCAACAGAACCCAGTCGGGTTCCCCAGAGCTTCACTTGGTCAGCTGCAGCAGCCAGATGCCAGGGCAGATGTGGCATCATGGTGCCATGCGTGGCTGGGCAGCCGTGTGGAGGGTGGGCCACGGCACAGGGGGGCCACACTTCTGGTGGTGGTTACTGAAAAGGGCGTAGGAGCCTGACTCTTTCTTACTCTGAGATCTGCCCTCTGGCCCTTTGTAGGTGAGGTTGGTTTTCTTGCTGAGGACCGGAGGATCAATGTGGCCATCACCCGTGCCCGGCGCCACGTGGCGGTCATCTGTGACTCCCGTACCGTCAACAACCATGCATTTTTGAAGACCCTGGTGGAGTATTTCACCCAGCATGGGGAAGTACGCACGGCCTTTGAGTATCTTGACGATATCGTCCCGGAAAACTATTCCCACGAGAGCTCCCAGGGTCCCAGCCACGCTGCCACCAAGACCCACGGTTGTGCTGCGTCCGCTAGGAATGGAAGTCAGTGGCAGGAGGGAGGCCGAGAGGCTGCAGCAGCTGCCAGACGCGGCCGGAAGAAGCCAGCCGGGAAGCCTCTGGGCTCGGAAGCCCTACTTCAGCCCAGTCTCACTGGAGGCAGCCCGGAGGGAGTGGAGAGCCAAGACGGCATGGACCACTTCCGGGCCTTGATAGCGGATTTCATGGCCAGTGAGAAGATGCAGTTGGAGTTTCCTCCTTCCCTCAATTCCCACGACAGGCTGCGGGTCCACCAAATAGCCGAGGAGCACGGGCTGAGGCATGACAGCTCCGGGGAAGGGAAGAGGAGGTTCATCACCGTGAGCAAGAGGGTCCCGCCAGCCCCACGACCCCCAGCAGTTCCAGGACCCCCGGCAGCCCTGGGATTCCTGGCAGGAACTGGCAGCCCAGCCCCTCTCCAGCCGGTGCCCCCTAGCCCTGTGCAGACGAAGCAGCCTCCTAGGGAGCAGCATGGCCCAGAGCAGCCAGACCTGAGGACGCTGCACCTGGGGAGACTACAGAGGGTCAGGGGCTCGCAGGGGCAGCCCTCCAGCAAGGAGCAGCTGGCCTCGGGGCAGCAGAAACTTCCAGAAAAGAAAAAGAAAAAAGCCAAAGGTAAGTCAACTAGTGAGAACATGGGGCAGCGTCCTTCACTGGGGTGCTGGCCCCACTTGGAACTCACCTGCCATCATCATTGGAAGGGCTTCCTCCCGGCAGGGTCACACCTGTGTCATTTTACCTTTATTTTCTGTCATGCGACTCTCAGCTCGGTCTGGGCCTCCCTTGGGTCTGGGATCAGGTCACAGGCACCTTCTTGTCCCAGAGCCTGTGCAGGGCTCAGCAAGTAGGCAGCGTGAGGGGCCTGGGAGAGCAAAGGTGGACGGTCCCTGGAGCCCCTCGGGATGGGGCGATCACGGGTTCCCGAACTGCAGGTGGCCCTGGAAGGTGGGGTCTTGCACAGCAACGGGGCGCACTCTGTCTGGAAGTCGTCCTGGGCAAAGTGCTCAGAACCACAGGGGCTAGCTCAGACAAAACCATTCTCACCCCTGGGCCATGCGGAGTCCGGGTGAGCTCTGCTCCGTTTGCTGCGTCCTGCATGGTGCCCACCCTGCTGGAGCTGGCCAGCCGTGCACTGGGAGTTGGCCAGGCGTGTGCTGGCAGAGCTCGTAGACCTGGTCAGTCTAGGGGGAGTTCCTGCTACTGCCGTTTTTTTCCTCAGCAAGATCAGGCAGGAATTCCTGATGCGCTGCACAAGAACAGCACATCGCTTGAAAGGGGCCTCCCGGAGCCTGGGGCTCAGAGGGATTCACGCCCCAGACCTTTCCTGAGCAGCTGCCCTGCTTTGTGCTAGAGCATAGCCCCCAGGCACTGCAGAGGGAAGAGACAGGAACTGCCTTTTAATTTTTTTCTTTTTTTAGAATTAATAGAGACAGGTCTCACTGTATTGCCCAGGCCAGTTTTGAACTCTCAGCCTCAAGCAGTCCTCCCACCTCAGCCTCCCAAAAAGCTTGGATTACAGGTGTGAGCCACCGTACTCAGCCATGAGTTGCTTTTAAAACCTTAAACGAAGGCCAGCTTCAGTGGCTCATGCCTGTAATTCTAGCCCTTTGGGAGGCCGAGGCAGGCGGATCATGAGGTCAGGAGCTTGAGACCATCCTGGCCAACGTGGTGCAACCCCATCTCTACTAAAAATACAAAATTAGCCAGGCGTGGTGGCATGTGCCTGTAGTACCAGTTGCTTGGGAGGCTGAGACAGGAGAATTGCTTGAACCTGGGAGGAAGAGGTTGTAGTGAGCTGAAATTGTGCCACTGGACTCCAGCCTGGGTGACAGAGCGAGACTGTCTCAAAAAAAAAAAAAAAAAAATCACCTTAAATGAGAGGCCAGGTATGGCACTGCTGTCTTTCCGTTTGCCTGAGTGACACGGGTCTTCTCCAGGACATCCAGCCATAGAGCTGCCCACAGAGGAGGACTTCGAAGCCCTGGTTTCAGCTGCCATTAAGGCTGATAACACTTGTGGCTTTGCCAAGTGCACAGCCAGTGTCACGACCCTGGGCCAGTTCTGCCATCTCTGTGGCCGCCGCTACTGCCTCAGCCACCACCTGCCCGAGGTATGTTGGCCTCCCCTCCTGGGGGTCAGACAGTGGGGAGGGTGGTGGGTTCCATCTCCAGGGAGCAGACCCTGGGCAGACTTGATTCAGATGGAAAAGTTAGCTCATTGCGAGCTCCAGATACCTTAAGAAACGGAAAGCAGACACTGGTGCATGGTCTGTTCCGGGCACCTGAGGGCATAAGCAAACAAGATGCCTTACTTTGCCGAGCTGCGGCCTCGTTAGTGGGGATTCTGGGGAGACGGAATTGTCTCAGTGTCTTTGAGTTCTGTCCGTGGCCTAAACTGGTCCATGTGGCATAGGGGAGGTGGAGGCAGAGCTCCAGCATGTGGTCTGAGCTGGCTGCGGCCTGGCTGCTGTGTCATTCACTCCATGAGCCTGGGTTGGTGACAACCCTCCGGGCCTGGTGTGGGCGTGCCTGTGGGAAGCTGGGATCTGAGCCAGCCTCGTCTCTGCCCTGGAGGATGCTGGGCCTGGTGGGGGATCTGAGTAAGAGACCAACATACAGTACCAGGTGCTGAGTGCTCCGAGGAAGGAAACCTAGGGCCAGGGTGGCAGCAGGGACACCCACCCAGATGCAGCAGTCAGGGTGGGCTTCCTGGAGGAAGTAACACAGAGGCTGAGACCTATGGGACAGAAGGTGGGAGCTGGGCTGGGGAGGACAGGGCGATGGCGGGTAGGTGGGCAGGCTGTTCACCCTTAGAGCATGCCTAAGGCCCCGGGCACAGTCAGGGAGTTGGGAAAAGTGTGAGGCAGGATGGCTAGAGTCGAGGCTGGGCAAGACCTGGAGAGCTGCCTGGAGGAGTCAGGCCTGTCCTGAAAGCAGTGGGGCGCCCTGGAGGGCGTCGACAGGGCTGTGATGTTACCAGTTTTAGCGGGTTAAACGGAGGCTGGGCAGCAGCAGGAAGTGGCTGCAGAGCTGTGTGGTCGGTCAGTCAGGGTGGTGCCATTTCCTCAGTGTGCACTCGGGGGGCTTCCGCCTCCAGCCACACCACGGTGCAGAGCCCTCGCGTGCCACCCACCCCCTTCCTGCCAAGCAGCCTGCAGGGTGAAGGATCAACATGGCGGGAAGGAGTGGTCCTCTGTTGGGGCGCCGGTGGCCCTCCAGCTCTTTGACAGGCAGAGCTGCAGGGTCTGCCTCCCTGTCCCTGTGAGCCCAGCACTGATTCTTGTGTCCTCCCCAGATCCATGGCTGCGGCGAGAGGGCTCGTGCCCACGCCCGGCAGAGGATCAGCCGGGAGGGAGTCCTCTATGCTGGCAGTGGGACTAAGGACAGGTCCCTCGACCCAGCCAAGAGGGCTCAGCTGCAGAGGAGGCTGGATAAGAAGCTGGGCGAGCTCAGCAGCCAGAGGACCAGCCGGAGGAAGGAGAAGGGGACATGACCGGCCGCATCCTCACCTGCCCCATGGAGCTCTCTCCTTGCCAGCCCAGGACACCATCAGAGCACGCTCCGCCTCCAGCAGGGCCATGGAGGAGCAGAGGGGCCTGTGGGGGAAGGTTGGGTTTTGGACCCCAGGAGTGAGCTTTTCCCATGTCACAATGTGGAGAAAAGCATCTGGGGGCAACAGTGCTTGTGTAGGTGAGGCTCGGGAAGCGTGTATCCCTTCCTCTCACTCCCGGTCAAATCCCACATCTCAGCATCTGGATCCTGGGGAGGGTTCCAGTCCCTTGGGGAATATCCAGGGCGTCGACGCAGGCTATTGAAGTCACTCCTCGGATGTCTGGGACTTGCCAGCTCAGGCCATCAGGATATGGGTGCTGGGAGGAAACAAGAAACCAGACTCGGCCAGTGGTGCTCAGGCGGGTTCTGGGACGGGCGCGGGAGCGGAGTTTGGCTTGCACGTTCCCACAGGGCCAGCTGCTGGGGCCACTTTCCTTCTGTCTGCTGTTCACTGGTGACTGCAGCATTCCCCTCCCCGTCTCCGCAGGGCTCCTGTGAGTCTGGGGCACCTCTTTCTGGCCTCTGCACCTCTCTCTGGCCTGTGCTGGCCCCCCCTCGCTGTGCCTTGCCATGGGGACCAGGCGAGAAGGCCATCCCTGCAGCTGTCCTGGGAACGCCCCGCAACGGCATCAGCGCCATCAGCACTTACCAACCCAGAGCTGCTGGTCTCCTCCAGTGCCCTTTGCCAACTCTTCTGTTTCCGAGAACTTCAGACGGATATACCTTAGCCTCAGGGTTTTGTTTCAGGAGGATATAAATTATTTAAACATTAAATGAAAACGTTGTACACGGTCCCAGCGTGTCTCTGCAGGCCTAAGGGGCGCCCTTGGCCTGTTCTGCTCAGCAGCTGTGCCCTCCCTGTGGACTCTCTCAAGCCCCCTCTCCCTCTGACCTCCTCATGGCAGACTCTCCGGGCGCAGGCTCAGCCCTCTCTCCTCAAATCCCCATTGTGTCCTTATGTCCCGGGTGGCCTTTGGAGTGAGGTTTGGCGCACCCAACCTGCACCAGGGTGGCTGTCCCCCAGTGGCCACTTAGGCAGCGAATTCAGCTAGTGTGTGCTCGGGCCCGGCCTGCGTGCTTTGACAGCCCTGTTCTTGCTGGTGCTGGGCCAGCCTCCCCACCCACCTGGGCTGACGCCTCACCCTGGGCCACTAGGGCACCCCCCCCCGCCCCCCGTCCTGGACGCCTTCCTTGCCTGCTCCTGTCAAATGGCTTTTGGACGGAATTGCTTGGGAAGGGGACCAGGACTCTACTGCATTTTGCATCAAGTGTGGCAGAGGTCATCTGGTTACTTCCGTAAGTGCAGAGCGCAGCGCCAGAGGGTTCCGTTTCTCACGCTCCTTAACCCCTTGCTGTAGGAGGCGTGTATGTAAATGGATGCTCTGGGTGGGAGTGAGAGCACCGCTGGAAGTTCTCACCGGTTGACACAGTACACAGGGAGGTGTTCTTCCTGCTGCGGCAGGTGTGTGCCTGCTTCAGCTCCCTGACTTTTTGGTTCTAAGCTTCAACCCCTGGCCACAGGGAGGCCGAGTTCAGGGATGGGCCAGAATCCAAACAGCCAACCACAGTCCTGCCCCAGGGTTGACACGGATGCCGAAAGATGCTGGCTTTTCAAGGGAGACAGCTGACAGCCACACTCCCTGCCTCCCAGGTAGCCTGTCTGCAGGAGAGAAGGAGGCCAAAGAGAAACAGACCCAAAAATGGGCGTGGGAGAGTGACCTGATGACCGTCTTTGAGCAGCTGGATGTAGCCATGCCTGACCTCCACCCCATTCTTCCTGCTGTCCTGAACTAGTAAATCCCCTTTTTTAGCTGAAGAAATCTGCCTTGGGTTTTTGTCACTTGCTACCAAAGAATCTGCTGACCCAGTCATGCCCACATCTGTGTATCTCATTGGGTATACCTCTCCCAACCTGGAGGCAGCGTGGAATTCATGTCACCCTGCTCATTAGAGAAGGCAGGATTGCGCTTGTGCTTTCCTCTGGTAAATAAATTTTAAAAAATAAAAATAAAGAGAAGGCAGGATTGGAATCCAAGCTCCGTGGAGGAACTTGAAATAGAGGAAGGCAGCCAGTGCCAGCTGTAGGGTGGAAGCTCTGGAACTGGAGGGACCTGAGTCTGAACACCAGCTGACACCACCATCCACTGAGGTGTGGCCTCAGCAAGTCACCTCCCCTTTCTGAGCCTGTTTGTGCATCTGTGAAGCAGGATGGGAACAGTTGCTGCGGCACCAGCTACGCTGGGAAGCGGAAGAAGTGAAGTGTGCGGCTTCACGCCCTTGCAGGGCCTGGGTCCGGGTTTGTGGTCCCCCAGCTGTGCCCCGCAGCCCCCTGCACGGAGTGCGTTCCCTTCCACCGCTGACCACCACAGCCCTGGGTAGTGCATTGTCAAAATGCCAGGGCCGAAGGTTGCGACACAAAGTTTCCATTTCTCATCCCAGGAGACCTTGTTAGGAAAATGTTTGTAGCTGGTTGTTTGAAAAACACCCTGCAGTTTGGCCTGGAGGTAGTCCAAAAAAAAGGGAAAAAATATCTTAAGCCAAATGTCTCCCTGACCAGCAGGTGTGGTCCTGCCGACAGTAGCTGCAGGCCATAGCCCACCTGGACCAGAACCTCGAGGAGCTGAGGACTCCCTTCCAGGGAGAACTGCCCACCTCCCCCCGTGGGCCCCCCTGAGGCAGCCCCGGAGTGTGCTCCTTTCCGGGGATGCTGGGCAGGGCAGTGGGCACAGGGGGAACCCCTGCCAGCCCTGGGATTTGCTCCCAAGTTTACTTGGGATGTGCTGCATGTCTTGGGGCCTCAGTTTCCTCCTCTGTAAAATGGGGAAGTAGCAGGACCTGTCTCAGGGTAGCTGTGAAGATGAAATGATCAAACACAAGGCCTTGGGCACGGTGCCTGGTGCCTGTTAAACGTGCTGCCCTCCTCCTCGTCATCTTGCAGAGCGGCAGTGGAGAGGGACAAGATGGCACATGCACTCATAGAAGGGGATCAGCAAATGGCCTTTCCTACCAGAGACAGGGGCGAGAGTACCCAGGCCCTGGGCGCCTGCCCATCAGCTTCTGTGGAAGTTGTGGGTCCCCCAATGTGGGTCTGCCTGGCTTCCTTGCACCTGACACAGCTCGCTCCCCCTCCCTGCTGGGCGGGCCGAGGGCAGGCCTGCTCTGTTTACCTTGGTTTGTTTGGAGCTGCCAGGAGGTATCCCGGAGTGGGCTGATGGGCACCGAGCTGCTTTGGGAGGTTTCAGGCCCACGTTGTAACCCTGGCACTTAAAAGGAATTGCAGTCACTGCTGGGAGTATGGCAAAAGCTGTAGCCTTATTTGGTCTGGAAACTTCTTTGCCTGCGGGAAAAGCAGGAGTGGGGAAGCACCCTCTTGTGTGAGTGGGCAGATCGGGGCCAGTTCTTCATTACCCGGGATATGAATTACTTCTCTCCTTCACTTAGCTTTGGTTTTGGCTTCTGGCCTTCTGCCCTGGAGCTGTAGCTCTCAATCTCCGTAGCTCACGACCTCCCCTGGCCGTTGGCGAGCTGTTTGGTTGTGCAACTTTATTGAGGTGTAATTGTCTTGCCATAGAATGCACTCATTGGGCCAGGCGTGGTGGCTCAGGCCTGTAATCCAAGCACTCCTGGAGGCCAAGGCAGGCGGATCACCTGAGGTCGGGAGTTCAAGACTAGCCTGACCAACATGGTGAAACCCCCGCCTTTATTTATTAAAAAAAAACAAAACAAAACAAAGAACAATGCACTCATTGTAAGTGTACGATTCAGATTCGACAATGTTAGTATAACAAGGGGCTGGGCCACCCACCCCCACCCATCCCTAGTGCTGAGTGCTGGTCTGCAATTAACCTCTACTCCTGCCCTCAGCCCCAGGCAGTCACCGATCAGCTTTCTGTCCCTATAAATTTACCTTTTCTGGAAACTTCATATAAATAGGGACTGTCCCCAACTCCCAGTGGTTTGACATCATGATTTTTTGACATTACAGTGGTGCAAAGCTACATGCATTCAGTAGAAGCCACCATTGCGTTTTCACGTTCAGTACAGTATTCCGTAAATTCCATGAGAAAGTCAATACTGTATGATCAAATAGGCTCTGTGTTAGAGGACTGTACTCAGTAAGTGTTCTGAGCGTGTGTAGGGTAGGCTAGGCTAAGCTATGATGTCCAGGAGGTCAGGTGTATTGAAAGCATTTTCGATTTGTGGTATTTTCAGTCCCTGGATTTGTGGGGAACATATTCCCATCATAAGTCAAGAACATCCAGCCGGGCTGGGTGGCTCATGCCTGTAATCCTAGCACTTTGGGAGGCCAAGGCAGGCGGATCACAGGGCAGGAGTTCGAGACCATCCTGGCCAATATGGTGAAACCCCGTCTCTACTAAAAATACAAAAATTAGCCGGGCGTGGTGGTGCGTGCCTGTAATTCCAGCTACTCAGAAGGCTGAGGCAGGAGAATCACTTGAATCTGGGACGCAGAGGTGGTGGTGAGCCGAGATCGCATTGTTGTACTCCAGCCTGGGAAATAGAGCGAGACTCTGTCTCAAATAAAAAAGGATAAAGAACATCCGTATCCAGTCCCTCACATCTGGGCTCTTTTACTTCACATGAGGTTTTGAGGTTCGCCTGTGTGGTGGCACATGTCGGTGCTTCCTTCCTCCACCTTATCAGTCAATGACCCATTGTACGGATATCCCCATGTAGTGTGTCCATTCATCTACTGGATATTCAGATTGCTGCCACTTTTTGGCTGTTGTGACCCATGAGGCTGCTGTGAATATTCATGGTTCAAGTCCCTCTGTGAAAACATTCATTTTCATTTTTCTTGGGTAGATTCTTAGAAGTGGAATTGCTGCGTCCTATGATGTTAAGTTTATTTATTTAAGAAACTACTAAGGTTTTCCAGAGAGGTTATGCCGTTTTACATTCCTACCAGCTGTGTATGAGGGTTCCAGTTCCTCTGTCATGCCAACATTTGGTATTGGCTGATTATTATTATCGCCATGTTAGTGGGTATGTTGTATGATCTCAGCGTAGTTTTAATTTGCATTTTCTTGAAGACTAAGGATGCTGAGCAACCTTTTCACGCACCTACAAGACATTTAGATATCTCCTTTGATAATTTTTTTTCCTTTTTTTTTGGGTGGGCAGGGACAGGTCTTAGTTTGTAGCTCAGGCTAGAGTACAGTGGCAGAAATATGGCTCACTACAATCTCGATCTCATAGGCTCAAGGGATCCTCCAACCTCAGCCTCCCTGAGTAACTGGGACTACAGGCTCATGCCACCACACCTAGCTCATGGCTTTTTGGTAAAGATGGGGTTTCACCGTGTTGCCCAGGCTGATCTCAAACTCCTGGGCTCAAGCAGTCTGCTCACCTTGGCTTTCAAAGTGCTGGGATTGCAGGCGTGAGCCACCATACCTGGCCTATTTTATCATTATTCTTTTCATAGAGACAGGGTGTTGCTTTGTTGCCCGGGCTGGTCTTAAACTCCTGGGCTTAAGCCATCCTTCTGCCTCAGCCCCCCAAAGTGCTAGGATTACAGGCGTGAGCCACCAAGCCTGGCCCTTTGGTGAAATTTCTGTTCAAGTCTTTTGCTCATTTTTAAGATGAGTTGAAGTGATATATTGTTGAGATACAAGATATCTTTAGGCCGAGCGTGGTGGCTCGTGCCTGTAATCTCAGCACTTTGGGAGGCTGAGGTGGGCAGACCATGAGGTCAAGAGATCAAGACCATCCTGGCCAACATGGTGAAACCCCATCTCTACTAAAAATTAAAAAATTGACCGGGCGTGGTAGCTCACACCTGTAATCCCAACACTTTGGGAGGCTGAGGTGGGTGGATGCCGAGGTGGGCGGATCACGAGACCAAGAGATCGAGACCACCTTGGCCAACGTGGTGAAACCCAGTCTCTATTAAAAAATACAAAAATTAGTTGGGCGTGATGGTGGGCGCCTGTAGTCCCAGCTACTCAGGAGGCTGAGGCAGGAGAATTGCTTGAACCCAGGAGGCGAAGGTTGCAGTGAGCCGAGATTGCACCACTGCACTCCAGCCTGGCGCCTGGCAATAGAGTGAGACTGTCTCAAATAAATAAATAAATAAATAAATAAAATTAGCTGGGCATGGTGGCACACACCTGTAGGCCCAGCTATTCAGGAGGCTGAGGCAGGAAAATCTCTTGAACCCAGAAGGCAGAGGTTGCAGTGAGCCAAGATTGCGCCACTGCACTCCAGCCTGGGCAACAGAGCAAGACTGTCCCCCTCCCACCAAAATAAAAGATATCTTTATATAGCCTGGATAGAAGTCTTTTTGATCAGATGTGGGTCAAGATGGCCAGGGGGGGACCTATGTTAATTCTAGCTAAATAATTATAAGCTTGATTGACTCACAGTGCACTGAAGTTTATACACCAAACTAAGCTATATTATTGGTGCAGTTAATTGGAAATCAAGCGGCAACAGGAAGCCTAAGGTAAAGACCATCCGAGTGTGCAGTGACACCGGGAACACCTCAGGGCGGCTGCAGAGCATGGAACACTGCTCTGGTCCTGCAAATGCCTTCTCTTTTTTTTTGGTTTTTAAGACGGGTTTCACCATGTTGGTCAGGCTGGTCTTGAACTCCCAACCTCAGGTGGATCCACCCGCCTTGGCCTCCAAAGTGCTTGGATTACAGGCCACCATGCCCGGCCTGCAAATGCCTTCTCAACATGGAGACTGTGTAAGGGCCTCATGAAGAAGGCTTATGCAAAGATGTCTGAGAAGGGAGGCAACCTTCCAATTGCTCTATGTCCTCAATGCTAGGGAGGTAAAAGCCCCTTGATGCATTGGGTGTGGTCAGACTGGGTGGCTCCTCATCCGCTGTACTTCTGATGCAGCTGCACCCTAATAACAATTGGTAGTAAACTCAGAGTACTAGTTTAGCATGTCTTAGAAGGATCTCAAGTGCTGTTAAATGCTCAGAGCACAGCTTAGCACATCTTAGAAGGATCTCAAGTGCTC